AGTTTTCTTTGTACAGTCTTTTGTGTCTTACTTAAGCTGATTCTTAGGTACTTGATTTTTCTGGGGCACAATTGTGAACAGGATTGTTTTTTTTCATGTCACTTTCTTCTCTCTAATTATTTGCATTTAGGAAAGCCATGGACTTTTGGATATTGATTTTATAGCCTGCAACTTTACTAGACAAGTCTATTGTTTCTCTGAGTTTCTTGGTAGAGATTTTAAGATTCTCTAAGTATAGTATCATGCCGTCTGCGAGTAGTGAGAGCTTGATTTCTTCCTTTCCTACCTGAATGCCCTTAATATCTTTTTCTTGCCTGACCGCTATTGCCAGTACTTCCAGTACTATATTGAACAGCAGTGGAGAGAGTGGGCATCCTTGCCTAGTCCCTGATCTTAGAGGGAAGGCTCTTAGTTTTTCCCCATTGAGGATGATGCTCGCCATAGGCTTGTGTTAGATGGCTTTAACTATTTTGAGGAAAGTCCCTCTATCCTCATTTTGGCGAGGGTTTTCATCACAAACGGGTGCTGGATCTTGTCAAATGCTTTCCCTTAATCTATTGATATGATTATATGGTTTTTATTTTTTCTATTGTTGATATGATAAATTATGTTGATTGATTTCTAAATGTTATCCATTCAACCATCCTTGCATCCCCAGGATGAATCCCCCTTGGTCATGTTGTATCATCTTTTTGACGAGTTGTTGAATTCTATTTGCTAGTGTTTTGTTTAGAATCTTCGTGTTCATCAGGGATATTGGCCTATAGTTTTCTTTTATTGTGGTGTCTTTTTTCCTTTTGTTATTAGAGAGATATGGACTTCATCGAAAGTGTTTGGGAGAGTTTCTGTTTCTTAAATTTCCTTGAAAAGCTTGAGAACAGGCAATATGTCCTATTTAAATGTTTGGAAAAATTAGCTAGTGAATCCATCTGGACCTGGGCTTTTATTTTTGGGAAGACTTTTGATTATGGTTTCAATTTCCTTGATGTTAATAGGACTGTTCAGGTATTCTAGATCTTCTTGATCCAGCCTTGGGATATTATAAGAATGCAGGAATTTATCCATTTCTTCTAGGTTCTCTTGTTTTGTGGCATACAGACTTTCAGAGTAGTCTCTGATGGTCTTCTGAATTTCTTTGGTTTCTGTTGTGATATCCCCCTTCTCATTTCTGATTCAGTTTATTAGGGTTCTCTCTCTCTGTTTCTTTGTGAGTGTTGCTAGTGATTTATCTATCTTGTTTATTTTCTCAAAGAACCAGCTCTTGGTTTCATTGATCTTTCAGATTGTTTATTTGGTTTCCATGTTGTTGATTTCTGCTCTAGGTTTTATGATCTTTTTCCTTCAGCCTGGTTTGGGCTCCTTTTATTGGTTTTTTTTCTAAGACCTTGAGCTGTGAAATCAAGTTGTTTAGTTGTTACGTGGGCCCTTTCTTCTTTCCTGAGAAATGCTTGCAGATGTATAAATTTTCCCCTTTACACGGCTTTAGCTGTGTTCCATAGGTACTAGTAGTTTGTCTCTTCATTCTCATTTGTTTCCAGGTATCTTTTGATTTCATCCTTGACTTCCTGCCTGATCCACTTATTGTTCAACATTGAGATGTTGAATTTCCAGGTGTTTATTTTGGTTCTTTGTGTCTGTGTGTGAATCACTTCTATCTTCAGTGCATCGTGGTCTGAAAAAATTCTTGATACTATTTCTTCCTGATTCTACTGAGGTTATGTTTTGTGGCCTAGCACATGATCTATTTTAGAAAATGTTTTATATGCACTGGAGAAGAATGTGTATTCTTTCTTTTTGGAGTGTAAAGCCCTGTATAGGTCTATAAGTCGTCTCTCTTCTATTTCTTCCTTGAAAGCCAATGTTTCCTTGCTGAGTTTTGTTCTTGTTGATCTGTCCAGAGATGATAAGGCTATGTTGAAGTCTTTGGCTACTATTGTGTTGCTAGCAATGTCCTCCTCAAAATCTGTTAGCAGTTGTTTTAAATATTTAGCTGTTCCCTCTTTAGGTGCATATACATTTAAGAGTGTGATTTCTTCCTCTTGTATGTATCCCTTGATGAATAGAAAATGGCCTTCACTGTCCCTTCTAATCTTTTTCAACCTGAATTGTATGTTGTCAGATACTACTATGCCCACCCCAGCTTTTTTTGAGGGAGCTGTTTGCTTACAGGATTGTTTTCCATCCTTTAACTTTGAGTCTGTGTTTGCTCTGACTATTCAGATGATTTTTTTGTAGACAGCGGAATATAGGGTTCTGTCTCTGAATCCATTTTGCCACTCTGTGTCTTTTAATAGGTGGATTTAGACCACTGACGTTAAGAGAGATTATTGTCATGGGGTTTTGTGTCATCTTTCAGTAAGAGTTTGTTGTGCTTGTAGTGTTTGTCTTATAATAGCCCCTTTAGCCTTTCTTTTAGGTTTGGTTTTGAGTCTTATGAAGTTCCTGAGCTGTTGTTTATCCAGAAAATTGTGTACCATTCCTTTGATTTTGAGTGAGAGTTTAGCCGGATAGAGTATTCTTGGTGAAGAGTTCATTTCAGTGAGTTTTTTTCACTATATCCCACTATTGCCTTCAGGCTTGGAGGGTTTCCTCTGATAGGCTGCTGTGAATCTAAGGGGTGCTCCTTTGTATGTGATTTTCTTTTTTGACCTTGCTACTTGCAGTATTGTGTCTCTATCTGCAGCATCCACCATTCTAACTATGATATGTCTTGGAGTGTTTTTTTTTTTTTTTAGGTCTCTTTTAGCTGACACCCTTGGGGCTCTTTGAATCTGAATGGCTGCATTGCCCAGCTCTGGGAATTTTTCAGCAATGATTTGCTTACTGTGGCTTTTTCATTGGGATTGTTTCCCTGACCTTCTGGTACTCCAATGATTCTAATGTTCTTCCTCTTGGAATTATCCCCTAGGACTCTGATTCGCTCTAGAGCTATTCTGAGGTCTCTTGCCATTGTTTGTTGTTGTCTGTAGGCTTTCTGCAGCCAATCTTCCAGCTCACTGATTCTGTCTTCAGCTGTAGCCATTCAACTGCTGAGGGCACACACTGAGTTTTTTTTTATTTCATCTACTGAATCCTCTATTCGTGACACTTTGTGCATAGCTTTTCAATTTCTGCTCTGATTTCTTCCTGTAATTTCTTGATTGTTCGATCCATTATTTCTTTCATGTAGTCCTTTAATTTATTGGATAACTGTGTCACTCTTTCTTTGAGTTCATTGAACATCTTCATTACTTCCTATCTTAATTCTTTATCAGAGAGGTCCCGTAGGTGAGTAACACCTAATGAGGCTTATGGACTTTTTCATTATCCTCTCCTAGTGGTGGGGATTTGCGTTGTTTCTTCATGTTGGTGTGGTGGTATGGACACTGGGAATTACACGAGATTGCGGTGTATGATTAATTTACCTGCGGCCCCAAATTAGGCCACGCCCACTTCTGAAGAGACCACGCCCCCTACGGGTACCTGGTGTGTGTGGGGTACAACCTGAGGGATGGAGAGATTAGACGCAGCATTGGGGGCGATCAGGAAGAGGCTCAGGGTTTTAGAGGGCGCCTGGGGCGTGTACTTGGCGAGAGCGAAGCTCCTGGTTCGAATAAAGACTGACCTGATGGATGGAGAGATCAGGTGCAGCACTGGGGATGAACAGGATGAGGCTCAGGGATGGTGGGAGGCCCAGGGTCCTGGAGGACGCCTGGCTTGGGTACGCAGTAAGAGCGAAGTCCTGTTTTCGAATCTTTGGGGGTTTGTTTTGGGGTTCATACCCAGCTCTCTTCAGGGCTTATTCCTGGCTCTGTGCTCAGGGATCACTCCTGGTGAGCTTGTGGAAAGAAGAGGGCAGCGGGATGTCAGTGATGGAACCCGGGTCAGCTGTGTGCAAGGCAAATGCCCCACCCACTGTGCTGTATCTCTCTGGTCCCCAATGAAAATGATTTTAATGGAAATTTGTCTTGGGTCTCTATTTCTCAGAATGGGAAGGAGTATGTGAGAAATACTGATTTCAAGAATTCTATCTACGATCATTGGGCTTTTTAGTCTTCTTCATGGAGGAATTTAACTTTTTAATTTATTCTTTATGGTTATTGTATTTTTAATTTACCATTCTCCCCCCCCCCCCCCCAACAACACCCAGGTTTCTTGAAGTCATATGAAATGGACTCTGATTCCCACACAGCACTGTGTTGCTGTGGTTTGGCCCATGTACTCTGCCCCCTATTTTTTCTTTTATTTTTCAAAAAATACTGGAGAATATCTAAATGTTACAATCATTATATTTTTTTTCTTTTTGGATCACACCCGGCGATGCACAGGGGTTACTCCTGGTCCATGCACTCAGGAATTACTACTCCTGGTGGTGCTCATGGGACCATATGGAATGCTGAGAATCGAACCGGGCTTGGCTACATGCAAGGCAAATCCCCTACCCGTTGTGCTATCGCTCCAGCTCCTGCAATCATTAATTGTAAGAGAACAGTTAGATTGCATTTCTAACATTTGCTCCCAATTTGTGTTAATTTATTCTGAGACATCAGGATCTGTGTCAGGACTCGATCTTTCATTATTTCCATGTCACCACACATAGCATGTGCTTCCAGAGCTCACCAGAGCATACACTGAAACAGTACTAGAGTTGGCAGTGGAGCTGTCGGATTTGAGCATGCCCAGGAGAGTTTGTCTTCACAGACTGACGATGTGTAGTCAATGCTGTGATTGTCTTGGTGTTGAAACTCTGAGGAGATCGTGCTCTGCCTTAAATCTTATTGCACCTTCTACTGTAATTCATTGAAACTGGTGGTGCTCTGTGTGGCAGGCTAGAACTCATTTGAATCGACTTTGGTTTTCAGCAGCTCTTAGCTCAGCCCGTATGTAAAGTGACAGGAACATACCCTTAGATTTATGGTCTAACAATTCCAGTTGCCGTGAAGCAGCCCTAGAGAAGGAGATTACGGTCTAACAGTTCAGGTCGCCATGAAGAGCCCATGTCATCTCCTTTGTCTTTGCAGATAAATTATTAGTCATCACTGTAGCAACCAAAGAAAGTGATGGATTCCATCGATTCATGCAGTCTGCTAAATACTTCAACTACACTGTAAAGGTATGGTGTCTTCTTCATTGCTGTCTTCTTCAATGCTGGTTGGTTGGGTTGTGATGCTGCAGAGTATCTCCTACTGACATGCTACTGATTCAATGTAGAAACCTTATGAAGTAGAGAATTCTTAGACTGTGAGTAAGGAAAACTTGCCCAGAAAGTTATGAAGTATCAAATCTTTTTTTATTCTTTTTCTTTTTGAGTCATAGCCTGCAATGCACAGGGGTTACTCCTGGCTCTGCACTCAGGAATTACTCTTGGTGGTGCTCAGGGGTACCCTATGGGCTGCTTGGAATCGAACCCAGGTCTGCCACGCGCAATGCAAATGCCCTACTTACTTTACTATCACTCTAGCCCCTGAAGTATCAAATCTTGGACCCCAGCTCCACTTGACTTTATTTTGGAGTATCACAACCCTTTTGGTTCAGTGGGCAAACCCTGATTTGCCTTATCCAAGGGTCCCTGAACTTCGTCAGATTTTCTGCCACCTTGAGAAATGCTAAGAAAGGTTCCTTCATGTTCTATTTCATTTTAGACTGAACAAATAGAAATAAAATAAAGAGAAATACTTCCTACTTCCTGATCCTTTTTCCTCCCTCTGCTCCTTTTGCTCACCTTTCCAGATTATATTGACAGCATTTGAAAGGGCTGATGTTGGGGGTGTCATTTGGGGGGGGGGTGGTGAATCATACGAAGGGATTAGGCTGGACCTTAGCTTCGAGTTTGTTTTGTTTTGTTTTGCTCTGGGACACCGTGTTATGGTAGAGTATTTAATGAGTGGTTCATGTGTGACACTTTCCACACTGCCTGTGGCTTCCAGTGCTTATGATCCCGTCTTCGTTTGCATTTCCTTGAGGTGGGATGTTGCTCTCCTTCACAGGTCCTTGGTCAAGGAGAGGAGTGGCGAGGCGGCACTGGTGTGAACAGCATCGGAGGGGGTCAGAAGGTGAGATTGCTGAAGGAAGTGATGGAGCAATTTGCCAGCCAGGATGACCTGGTGGTCCTCTTCACTGAATGGTGAGTGCTCTGGGACTGGAAATCTGTCCGATGTTGTTTCCAGCAGACTGAGAGCATCTGGGGAAGGTGTTTTTACTTTGAACTGGGTTTGATCCCCGAAACCTTATCTGGTCCCCTGAGCACTGTCTGATGTGTCCTAACTGCCAAACCAAACCAAATCAAAGCCTTATTTGTCAAAGATTTGGGTTCTTTTAAAATAAAATGAACACTGAAACTTTCCTTTTGAAAAAGCACCAACTTTTAAAGCATTTATTTCAAACTGAAGTTTGTGTGTATATATGTGTGTATCTGTGTGTCTGTGTGTGTTTGTTGTGTTTGCAATGAAGATAGTTTATAAAACTGACAGTCTCTTCTTGATGAGGTTGTCAAAAATGCAATGAGTTTTGTGATTTTTTCCTTAAAACTCTTGTTTTTATTCTAGAATTAACATTTCTACAGTTTAATGACTCCTGCTGTACTATGATGACATTTGCTCGAATAGATGCTTTTTTTCCCCTTTTTTAAAAAAATTATTGAAACACCATGAGGTACAGTTGTAGACTTACAAATTTTTGTGCTTGGGTTTTATACAATTATCGACTACCCATCCCTCCACCAGTGTCCATTGTCCACCACCACTGATCCCAGTATCCCTCCCACCTCCATTTCCCCCATCCCACCCTGCCTCTGTGTCAGGGCATTCCCTTTTGTTATCTCTCTCCTTTTGGGTGCTGTGGTTTGCAAAAGAGGCATTGAGTGGCAATCGTATTCAGTCTATAGTCTCCTTTCAGCATGCATCTCTCATCCTGGGAGGATCCTTCCAACACCCTTTATTTGGTGCTCCCTTCGAATAGATGCTTTTTTAAATGTTTTAATTTTATTTATTTATTTATTTATTTTGCTTTCTGGGTCACACCTGGCCATGCACAGGGGTTACTCCTGGCTCTGCACTCAGGAGTTACTCCTGGTGGTGCTCAGGGGACCATATGGGATACTGGGAATTGAACATGGGTCGGCTGCATGCAAGGCAAATGCCCTACCCTCTGTGCTATTTCTCCAGCCCCGATGCTTTTTTTTTTTTTAAAGGAAATGGATAGAATTCCTTAATTTTGAATGAGTTTTAAATAATTATGGGGACAAATTCTATATATAATTTGGTAGCTGCAGATTCCCTTATGTTAAGAAATTATTCCAAAACGGTTTCATAAGTCATTATCATGAAAGTAAGTCAACATTTTTGTTTTTATAATGTAGTGCATTGTAGTACTTGTAGAATTGCCTTGAACATAATTTAAAAAGAAAATTCTCATCACATTAAAGGCAGATGGCGGTCCTATTTATTATGTAATGAACAGTTTTCCTTTGAATAGTAATATAAAGTAATATGAAAGAAACATGCTTTTGTTATTATGAGCAAATTAGACACACACTAAATATCCTCACAAACTCGTTTTTTGTTGGACATAGTAAAGACCAGCACAGTCCAGATCCCAAAACAAAAATGTGTGGAATACTTTTGAAGATCAGATAACCTTCTAATAAACACTGTGGTTTATTTATTTTTCTTGTTCACATAAGAAGTTTTTATAAGAATATTGAAAAGTAAATTCGGAGCAGTTACTTTGAGTTTGATTTCGAAAGAGCAGAAAATAACATTTGGGAGGCCTCACTAAAAATGCATTAATTAGGTACACTACATTTTCAGAGAGTTTGGAGGTTTCTTTCCTCACCAAAAGGAGTATCTGCTCAATGATTGAATTTACAGGAGTAACAGATGAGAGCAATAAAGGAGATTGACCTTCTGAAAGAGGATTAATAACTCAAAAATTGATAGAGAATTTTAAAATTACAAAGTGAAGCTGTTATTTTAGTAGTTTTTGTAGGCTTTTTCTGTCTGAAGACTTATCCAGGACAAGTAAACATGGAAAAGGCAAGAACAATTCATCACTTGAATATTGACCACTAGCTTCTGTGACTGTCTCGTGAGATTTTGTTGGGTTGGCTAAGCTTCAGGTCTGTGTCACAAAAGTTGTCAGTGATTGTGTGCTCTGTGTAGTATAATTGTGCCTGCACTGGTGTGTGTGTGTGTGTGTGTGTGTGTGTGTGTGTGTGTGCGCACGTGTGTGTATTGCACGAATTTACATATTGTTATGGAAAATAGCAAGGAATCAAACACTAGATAAAAGGAATTTGCTTTATAAGAAGGGAAACAGACTTTGCAAGAGAGATAAATTCTATGGATGCTTTGAAACAATTTTTGCAGATAATTTTCCTTTGGTCATGTGGAGAAATAAAATAATAAAGATGGGAAAACATCCAGATTTTCTTAATGTCAAAGGACTGAGATTATTTCAAAATGGAATATTAATTAGAAACCTTGAAGAACGACACAGTTGCTTCTGTTTTTTAATATATGCCAGCCAGTGTTTGTTTATTTTGGCTTCTAGTTCAATATTATTTTGCTGAAAAAAGTGTTTCAGGACAGATTTTTTATTTTGCATTCATTTACACATCTAGGGCACAAAACCTGGGCTAGACATTGATATAACACAGATGACAAGGGATAAGCACTCCCTCTAGGAATCATTTCATACAAATTATGCAAGTCAAACTAAATAGGCATATCTTAGGGGAAAATTGTGTGTCTTCAAAACAGACTTTGAATATTAGTATAATCTTTCGAGTCATTTACAATTCTGTTTTACTACATCATTTTCCTAATTGTGAAAATTTTAGCTTTGATCATTTTGTTATTATAAGTAGTATAATTTGTGTGAGTAGATTCTCTAGGTAACCAGGTCTTATTTGCATTGTATGAAGTAAACATTTCCTGCCTCTCTTAATTCCGGGTATCTGTCCAGGACGCCTGACTCTTAGATCCTCTACGATTCATTCATAAGGCAGGGCAAATGTTTCCCCAAAGCCAAGCCTTACAAGTGTGACAGTGCTAATTCAAGCCAACTTTGGCAGATTGATTCGATAAGTTCCTCCTCCTGACAGTGATGGCAATTTCACGGGCAAAGAGAAAGCACGCAGTCATTTGTGACAGACGGCATGTTCTTATATAATGGGAGGAAGACAAGCACTAATCAGTACATTAGTGCTCTCGGTTTATATTCAGATTTTTTTTTTTTTTTTTTTTTTTTTACTTTTAGTTCTGACCTTTCACTGTATGCTGGTGTTTTGGTCCATAGGCCTAAAGCGTATTTTAAAACTTCTCTTCAACAGCTTTGATGTCATATTTGCCGGTGGTCCAGAAGAAGTTCTCAAAAAATTTCAAAAGTCAAATCACAAAGTGGTCTTTGCAGCAGATGGGATTCTGTGGCCAGACAAAAGACTAGCAGACAAGTACCCCGTGGTGCACATTGGGAAGCGTTACCTGAATTCAGGAGGTGAGTAAAGTACTGGAAAAAAAAATAATAATGTAAATCTGCCCTTGTAAAATAAAAGGGGGTGTTCAATTCCCAGAAGCTCATGGTCTGCCAGGAGCAACCCCTGAGCACAGAACCAAGAGTTGCCCCTGAGATCACTGGTTGAGAACCTCCTCCTCCAAAAAAGAAATGCAAAGCAAATTACAGTATAAATATTGTTGAAGTAACCTATTCTTGTTAGGCAACTGTAGACATGAGGTTTTAATTAACCATTATTCTTAGTGCCAGGAAAAAGTAAAATCAGTGTGAAGTGCACAGTGCCCGTCAGATCCAGCCAAGCCTTTTCCCATGTGCTCCTTTCACAGTGCTCCAGGTGCTGTCATCCAAGGCACTGTACGTGCTCCTGGGTTCACTCTGTGAGTGAGGAAACCTCTGCTTCCAGGTTTAAGTAGGTTTGTCTGAAAATGTTCAGTTGTTCAAGGAAAAGAAACATGGAACTAAATATTCTAAACTAGATGTTCTAAACATGGTTTCATCAAGAAATGTCTAAGGAAGAATAAACTGTCAGTGTTTTCCTTATTTTGGAAAAGTGGCCTTCTGCACTTAGAGTCCTGCAGATATATAGTTCAAGTTTTTACTTAATTTTAACTGTTTTAAATGTATTCATCTATGAGTGACTTACCTGAAAACCAGCTCTGAAAAAGAGTCACCACTACTTAAGTGACTGCAACTGAAGTCCAGCATTAGCTATGGCACCATCGCTTAAAGGGCCAAAAAAAAGTAGTTCCATTTCCAGTTGCCCTTCAATACAGTAAAATTTGACTTTGGATGTTATTATGACTCTAAAGTGTTTTCCCAAGACTGAGATTAATACAAACATACAGCTGGGAGACATGACCAAGTACCATGGAGACACGGTGAAGTTGGGGCAAGATGGGTAGTCCTTGTGAGCTATGATTGGGCAGACCTCGGCTAGCTCTGGGAGTGCTGTTTGCACTCTGCATCAGAGTCTGAGCTCAGTCTCCTGAGTGCTGAGACTCCACAGGCCTTTGGTCGTGCCACACGTGCTCAGTTCCATTTCTCTCCACCTGTGCTACATTTGAGCTCCGCATCTCCAGAGTTGGGCCTTGAAGCTTGGTCGCCCCCTTTCAAGATCACAAGGCTGAGTTCCCGGTTACGTCACCTCATTTCCAGTTCCTTTCCTCTTCTCTGTCTGCATGTAGTTCACGGTTTGGAGATCCCTTGACCCTTTTTTCTTATATTCGATCAGCTCTGCACTTTGCTTACCTGTGCAAGTAAGAGCCCCCCGGGCTTACCACATTGCTCCCTGGAATCTGCTGTCTCAACCTCTCTTAGGCTAAGATTACTCATCCAGGCACTGCCAGCACTCTTTCCCCCAAAGACTGCTCTTCCTGGGATGTTGGCTTTAATTCCTCACTGATTTAAACACAGTGGTTTACAGAGTTGTTCACAGTCCATTTGTTACAGGCTTTCTGTGTTCCAACACCAATCCCACCACCATGGTCATCTTCCCTCCGCCCTTGTCCCCAGAATCCCAACCCCTCTCCTCCCAGCCTACCTACCATCTTAGCAGGAACAAAGTAATTTATTTGATATTGCATGTTACAACGAAATGGCTAATGAAACTATACAAAATTACTTTCTTAAAAAAAATCATGCTAGTTGTTATAACACAGCATGTGGTCATTAAATCCTTGTCTGAAGGTTGCTGAACTGTTGGTGGCTAGTTGAGCCTCTGGGTTAATGTTTTTGTTTACTGAGCTTAGGTGGCTTCTATATTACTTTCTCATCTAAATGGTCAGTAACATTCTTTCTGGGACGTCAGAATTGTAGTGTTTGGAGGTGTTGTGTGGTCACAGTGTGGCCACGCAGTCCAGGGTGTTCAACTGGGCTATGAGTTGACGTGGTTGTGCAATGTGGGTTTGGTTGCTGGGGTCCCGGAAGTACAGGTGGATGGGAAGGCTAGGCTTCTCTCTCTCATGGAACTCTCCGAGCCCTTGAATTGTGGGTGGTTGCTCCCTCCACCTCCAAACTCTAATACAAGACCTTGTAACATGGGGCTCATGCTTTAACCTGCCCCCTTAGCCTGACATGATTTAAAAACCGTCTTGTTATGGACCCTCTGCAAAACATGTTATCTTCCCTTTAGTAATGAACATGATAAAGTGAAATATTCTATACAGCTTCAACTACTGATTTTGCTAATTGGGAATTTTTTTAAAAATTTTTATTAGTGAGACACCATGAGGTACAGTTGTAGACCTACGAATTTTTGTGCTTGGGTTTCAGTTATACAATGATCAAATACCCATCCCTCCTCCTCCAGTGCCCATTTCCCCACACCATGGATCCCAGTATCCCTCACCCCCCCCACCCCATCCCACCCTGCCTCTGTGACAAAGCATTTCCTTTTGTTTTCTCTCTCCTATTGGGTGTTGTGGTTTGCACAAGAGGCAATGGGTGACAATCATGTTTGGGAATTTAAAAAAATTTCTGAAATCTAAATTTCAGACACAAAGGCAAGGACTGTGGAAAAAAGCAAAAATCGTAACAATTAACTGCCTTTGTGAGCAGATTCATTTGAGGAAAGGGTTCTTCTAAGGGGGCCAGAGAATGTGGAGGTCAAAGTGCACATGGGGCACCCAGCTCAGTTTAGGATTTACACTCTGCTTTGAGCTTTCAGGTCATTATTGATGGGGCTGCCGGGGGTTGGGGGGGGGGGGGCGCATTTGTGGTATCAGAGATCAAACCCAGATCAGCAAGTGCAAGGCAAGCGCCTTAACCACTGTACTATCTCTCAGGGCCCTGTGCCATACCTGTCATACGGCTGGCCCTGGTTTATCCAAGAACCACATTTGGCTCCTTGAGTACCACCAGGGAGCAGCCCTCCAACCCCCCACAAAAGAGAGAATGAGATTATACATGGTCATCAAACATTGTATTTTGCTTCTGCACTCAGCGTCATCAAAGAGATGGTAGAAAATCATAGTGTGTTCAATAAAATGTGTGTGTAATTTCATGGAAGACATTGAGAATAATTTAAAAGGATTAAGTTGTTTGATATATCATTTCATTTTTTGCAGTATATCTATAGACAGAATTAATATGTCTCTCAAGTAAAATTTTAGAATGTTGAAATCATTATTGGTCTAAAACATTAGGACAGTTTGGTTGAAAAATATAGATCAGATGCAATATATATCAGATGTTTCCTTTTTTGGTAGAATTTTTAAAAGCACAGAAAGGGAAGAAAAAAGGATAGTTTTTTTGAAAAATAAGATAAACTATAGGAGTTGTTATGTGTTGCTTCTCTGATATCATTTTCCTTGTTTAAAGGTGGTCATAGGAATTTTAAAAATGAACTCCACTGCATAATTTTGTGTTTTGTAAGAATAATAAAAATTGAGCAAGCAGTGGATGCATTAAACATGCTTTAGTTGTGTCTTGTTTTCTATAAAGGTCCAATACTATTCCTGGACCTTTTTCTGTGGATGGTCACCCTTTCCCCTTTTCAGTCATGGGGGAAAATAATGTTTTTGAGGCAAATCATAAGTAATTTTGAGGTTAAGGCTATAGTTGTCCTTTCAGTTTACAGCAGTAAAATCGGCCTCTTAAAAAGCACTACATGTCATTGTAACTTAGCAACTTGGCTGCCTTTCTGGAATTCAGAAGTACCCTGGAACAAGGAAAAAATGATACTCTTGTCTGTATCTTTTCTAGACAACTGCTGTTGGCAAGTTTAATGCTTATGTTCTATGGCCAAGGAGAACAATCCAATTTTAGACTATTTTCTTCAGACTGCGACAAACAAAACCTAGCCAGAAAATGGTTTAACAGGCACAATAATGATAGCTCAAGTGAAGAAAAAATGCCAAAATGCCCCAGATAGAAAATTTCTTGTGGATGCTTGCAGTCAGTGACAAATCCAACATTCCATTGATTATGTTAGCCTCTCTGACACTGATGTTAAAACCCCTGTAATAGAGATTTTCTTTTTTTAGAAATTGTGACTTTTGTACACAGGATCCAAGGAGAACATTTGAGAATTTTAAGAGAGTTTAGAGAGGCCCTCCCGTTGATTGTCGATTTGCTCGAGCGGGCCCAGTAACGTCTCCATTGGAGACTTTGTTGTTACTGTGTCTGGCATATCGAATACTCTCGGTAGCTTGCCGGGCTCTCCGAGAGGGGCGGAGGAATCGAACTCGGGTCGGCCATGTTGGCCGCTTGTAAGGCGAACGCCCTACCCGCTGTGCTATCGCTCCAGCCCAGTTTGCTGGAGCGATAGCACAGCGGGTAGGGCGTCTGCCTTGCACGCAGCCAACATGGCCGACCCGAGTTTAGAGAGAAAACTTATTATTTCCCAAGTAACTGTTTTTCCCTTTAGATCCTTTGGAAAATAATTGTTTCTTTTTGTACCAATTAAGTTGAAGACTGACTGGTTTGTAGTTGATAGCAAACTTAAATCTACTCTAGTTTATAGATGAAACAAATACCATTCAATGGCTTAACTTTTCTCATAGTGAGCTGTGAAATTCCATCCTATGAATTCAGCCTAACCACTTTACAAGTCTGTAATCAATACAAATCACACAGACACATAATTTGAGTCTGTGTCCCATGAGTTTGGGTCTTCACTAAATTCTCTCTTTCTGTTTTAATGCAGGATTTATTGGTTATGCACCATATATTCACCGTATAGTTCAACAGTGGAATCTGCAGGATAATGATGATGATCAGCTGTTTTACACTAAAATTTACATTGATCCACTGAAAAGGGTATGGAATAACTTCTACTTTCTGTGTAACCTCCTTGTTCAAGATTCGCGTAGAGAATCTTCCGGTGCCCTCCCCAAACTGAAGAAATGTGCTGGGTTCTTGGCTCGTTGGTCCTTTTCACTCCTCTCTTGGTTCTTGCTTTCAGGAAGCTATCAACATCACCTTGGATCACAAGTGCAGAATTTTTCAGACCTTAAATGGAGCTGTAGGTATGCTTTCTAAGTTGAACCTGACCGCCCAGGGCTGCAAACGCACTCCTGTTTCTGGCTCTCTCTCATCGTTTGGGCCACATTTTGAGGCCGTGGTTAAGGTCTTTGGCAGTTTTTCAGACACCCTGAAATGGAGCTTAGCATGGTATTCTTAAATGTGCTCAATTTAAGTCATTTACTAAGACTAGGGGGCAAACAAAGCTGTGTCCTTGGCTTCAGGTAGCTATATTTGTGAATTAATTATATCTCAACATGATGTATAATTTGTACTTTCTATGTTAGAAATCACCTAGGATTGTTGGTGTATTGACTATTGAACATACCTGGAAAAGAGTGGGTGCAAGGCATCTGTACCAGTTAAAATATGTGTGTGTTTGGGATTGTGTGTATGCCTGTACATACATGCATGTTCACTCATGTTTGGTCTGTGAATTAGACATACACCTGATACAAATGCATTAATACATGAACATGATTTAATACATTTAAAACAAGATACATTCATGCATTAGTGCTTTCACCTGCTTATTGCAGGCTAAGTCTCCCCCCTTTCTTCCATCCAAACTCATTAGTGAAGGAATACTTGGAAAATTAAAAGTGTATAAACTCCATGCTTAGATCACTAGTATCTTCGTAATCACCTTGATGGAGGCCCACAGTGGCCCATTTTACAGAGGAGTAAGTGGACACAGTGATATCACTGATGCAAAATAATATCACTGCCTAAGACAGAGATGGGCTTATGAGGTTGCTTCCAGCCCTCAGATCCCTCCACACTGGCTTCACAACCTTCCTTGGTATGTGCAGGGGAGGGGGAGGCCATGAAGGACATGAATCTGGGTCGTCCTGTAGTTGGGGAAACTGCATGGCAGAGCACAAGGAACCACAATGTGCTGAGAAGTCTTAGCTGCAGGCAGGGATGTTCGTGTACAGACAAGCTCTGTGTTCTTAAAGCCTGTGTTTGCTTTCTCACCCAGACGAAGTCGTTCTAAAATTCGAAAACGGCAAAGCCAGGGCGAAGAATACATTTTATGAAACATTACCTGTGGCGCTGAACGGGAACGGACCTACCAAGGTGAGTGGCAGTGTTGTCGCCTTATTCCTCAGAGATAGACTCGGGGCACATGTCACCCAGCCTCCCCCAGCTCTGCTCCGCTCATCTCCTCCCATTGACTGTAAGAAGCTAGAATCCGGGAGTGATTTGCTGGCTTGATCTTTTATCCGGTGGATTTCGGCTCATTCAGATCAGTCCGACTGATGATTCTTCCTCAGCTGTGTGATTTCATTCTGCCTAGTACTGAGTAATCACATAACATCTAGCTGAAAAATGAATTCCAGCTCCCTAGGTACGAGGAAACACTCAAGAGGGATTGCCGAGGGCTGAGAAGGATCATGTTGGACCCGAGTCACTGATTTCGGAGTTACCTTGTGTGGCCGTGAAACTTGCATTTATTTAATATTAATATTAAATAAATAAATATTATTATTTATTATACCTGGCTGGTGGCTTGTGTTGACCAAGACTTACTTGGTTTGATAGAATTTTGGATGTTTTATTTTGTTTTTTAAATATACAGTAGAACTGAGCTTGCTGAAAATGTGATTGATTGCAAAATTTGTCGGCAGGTTGGCTTTGTGGCATCTGAGTTGTCTCTGTGTATAGAGAGATACAAGAAATCACTGTTTCTAGGTAGAAAATCACTCCACATTGGGGCATCTGCATGGACAATGGTTATATCCACTGTGCTTTCCAAACGGTGTCACTCCTGGGTGTTCTGAGGGGTCTGTGAGGTGCTGGGGTCTATATTCCACCCGGCTTGGGGCTCAGGATTCACTCCTAGCAGTGCTCGGGATTGCTAGGGATTGAACCCAGGTTGGCCTCAATCAAGGCAAATGCCTTCCCCACTGTACTATCACTCAAGCCCTGCATTTTTTTCACAACTGGACTTGTGTGCTGGTTAGAGGCGAGGTGAATCATGCTTCAGGTGATTTATGGTTGTCTGTCATTTTCTACACACGGTGCTGTGTAACTCACTTTCCTTCCTGAATGCGAGCAAACCTAATGTGGTTGATTTCCAAATGCTACCCTGGGTCCTGCATGTTTCCTGCAGGTGTGAATAGCCACTTGGTGGGTCCATCTTTGTGCCCTATGAAGCCTATGACCTTCCACGCCACCCTCTCTTCCATTTGTGTGGCCAGCCAGGTTTTATTCTGGCTCTTTGATTGAAGAACTTTCTTTTGGCTTCTGTGCATGGCAGTTTGGTCTACTTTTCTCAGTGTCCAAAACATCTTCCTTAGCTTGGTGGCTGTCATCACCAATTGTAGCTTGGAACGTGGTGATGTTTCTTCCTCTATGTGCTTAGTTCTCAAGTTCCAGATTGATTGATTTGTTCATTTATTTTTATTTTGGGGCCCCACCTCACTGTGCTCTGCACTCAGGGATCACTCCTTGGTAGTATACAGGGACTCTGTGGGGTACCAGCCCCTTCCAAGCCCAACCTGCTGTACTGTCTCTCCAGCCCCGAAGTTCTGATTCTCCACTTGTCTTGTAAGGCTCTTTAAACATTTTGTTTTCTGCCTCTTGTCTCCATTGCCCAACTCAGCTCCTTCTGTACTATTAGCTCTAGATCTGTCCACCCACACACATTTTTCAGCCTTCCTCAACCTCAGCTCCTGACATGCAGGATATTTTCCAACTTTGCAAAAATATCACATTATCCTCTATCTGCATGTCCTCCTCTGCCTCAGGAATTCCCTCTTGTTCGTACCTGTGATGACCTGCTTAATTTTCAGGAATCAGTTTGGTCTTTACAAAGATTTAGGGATATTTTATTACATTTTAGGTGATGATGTAATTATTATTACATACAATCATCATTATTATTATTATTACCTAAAATAGGTAAAACAACAAGACTGAATCAAAACCCACACAAGTTGATTTTAAAAACTGAGCAAAAATTTTACATTAGTGTTTTACCAAAGAAGACATACCATACGACTCACTGACACATGGAAAGAAATTCTGTAAAGGTAAAGGTACAGGCCCTCCCGTTGATCGTCGATTTGCTCGAGCGGGCCCAGTAACGTCTCCATTGGAGACTTTGTTGTTACTGTGTCTGGCATATCGAATACTCTCGGTAGCTTGCCAGGCTCTCCGAGAGGGGCGGAGGAATCGAACTCTGGTCGGCCATGTTGGCCACTTGTAAGGCGAACGCCCTACCCGCTGTGCTATTGCTCCAGCCCATTTCCCAGTTATTAGGAAAATGCGAATCAAATCCAGATGGTGCTCGGAGAACCTAGGGAGCACCCCCAGTGATTCTTGGCTCTCTGGAGCCAGTGGATGTGGTGCTGCTCCAACCCTCCAGTGCTCCAGGTGACTTTGGCCACTCTAGGGGCACCTGGGAACATCTAGGGCCACCTCGGCCACCTTAGGAGCACCTGGGGACCTACAGGGCCACACGTGGTGGTGATCAGGGCCTTTGAGCTGCACCCGGAAATGCTCAGAGCACCACTCAGTCCACCTACTGCTTCATCCCCATATACCATTGACCCCTTAACTCCTCTGTGTCCCCCGCACTGCTCTGCCTCACCACCCGTGCACCGTTGTTCTCTTGTCAATTCTAAGCGTTTGTTTTGGGTTGCTTGTTCATGTGCTTATTTCCTTAATATTCCGTGAGTGGATGAATGAAATCATACAGTATATATACACTGTCCTCCTATTGTTCATCAGTTTGCTCGAGCGGGCCCAGTAACGTCTCCATTTTGAGACTTGTTGTTACATATTGAATACGTCACAGGTAGCTTGCCAGGCTTTGCCAACGACAGTATATATACATATTTTTTTTCTTCTGATTTATTTCATATATTCTTCAAAGTCCACCCATGTTGAAATGTCAAGATCTCATCAGTTTTTAAGCTAGTTTTGTAGCATTACGGTGTGTATTGACACATCTTTATCCGCTCATCCGTCCCTGGTGCTTAGACCGCTTCCACACCTTGATTTCAGGAAATAGTGTGTTTTTGCTCAAATGCAATTTCCATATTCTTTGCATGAATGCTCAGAAGATTGCCGGATCATATAGAAGTTCTAACTGGATTTTTTCTACTATGTTCGACACCAGCTTGTGTTCCCACCACCAGTACACCTGGGTTTCTCTTTTCTCTCTTTTTCTCTCTGTTCCCTCTAATCCTTTTTCTTTCTTGTCCGATGGAAGCCGTTTAGACTTGTGGACAGTTAAATCTCATCGCGGGTTTGATTTGCATTTTTCTAATAACAGATGATCCAGAATTTCTTTCCATGTGTCAGTTGGCCATATGGTATGTCTTCTTTGTAAAACACTAATTTAGAATTTTTGCTCAGTTTTTAAAATCAACTTGTATGGGTTCTGACTTAGTCTTGTTGTTTTGCCTATTTTAGGTACTGACCACTTGTCTGGTGGTTTGCAAATAAAGTCTTGTGTTTATTAGGCTGCTTCATTTGAACAATGGTTTCTTTCCCCATACAGATGCTTAATATCACATTTCTTTATGTTTTCTTTTGTTTCTCTTGCTTTGGGGAACAAAGCACAAACATGTCACTATAGCCAATAGTGGAGAGCTTATCACCTCTGATATCCTCTGTGACTTCCCATCCTAGGTTGATACTGTTAGTCCATTTTATTTATTTTGCTTTTGGAGGTCACATCTGGCGATGCATAGGGGTTACTCCTGGCTCTGCACTCAGGAATTACTCGGGGGACCATATGGGCTGATGGGAATCGAACCCGGGTCGACCACGTGCAAGACGAACACCCTACCCAGTGCACTATCGTTCCAGCTCCTGTTAGTTCATTTTAAAGCTGACATGGAGAGTGAGTTTATTTTATTCTCTTCTGGCTTTCCATTTTCCTCAGCACTTTTTGTTGAAGAAATTTCCTTTGATTTCTTTACTCTGAACTGTCTGTCCTCTTAGGTTCACTTTTATTTCTGGGCTCTTGATTCTATTCCAATGGTCTGGTGCCTTCTACTTTTTATTTGAGGACCTTTATAACTATATCATATTTAGTTTTATGTCAAGATATAATTTTTGTCTTTCACTTTGTTGATTTGATGTATCATATTGATAGATATGTGTTGAATTTGGTCTGATATTGAGGTCCTTAATCCATTTTGATCTGACTTTTGTGCCTGGCATTAGAAAGATGTCTGAGTTATTTTTTTTTTTGCGTGTAGTGGTCCAGTTTTCCCCGACACTGCTTGTTGAAGAGGCTTTCCTTGCTCCACTTCACGTTTCTTGCTCCTTTCTCCAAGATTAGGTTATCATATATCTGAGGGTTAGTGTCCGGATAGATCCCTTTGGTGTAAGGTGAGAACTTTTACTTGTGATTCATTCTTGCTAAAGTTAGTCTGCATTGCTTCCTTTTAGCACTGCATTATTTGCACCCAGAGTGTCTGGTGTATAATATTTTCGTTCCTATTTGTCTCCAGATATTTTTCTTTCCTTGATTCCCCCCTGCTTTTTTTTTCCAAGTGATTCAGTAGTTGTTGGGTCTTTAATCTCCTCATGTTTGTTGTGTTTCCAGTTTTCTTCTTGCAGTTGAATTTGATCTTTGTGGTCGGAAAAGATTCTTCTCAGAGTTAATTTTTTTATTAGTTCCTTTTTCTAAATCTTGTGCTATTTGGAAGAACTTTTTTTTTTTAAAAATATAATCTTAAAAATCACCTCAGAACTTCCTCCCTCCCTGTGTTTCTTTCATTCAGGGCTGCTTTTAGGCTTTTTTTTTCTTCTTAAATTTTTTAATTTATGTTTTAAATTGAATCAGTGAGATACACATACAAAGTTGCAAAGTTGTTCATGATTGGATTTCAGCCATATCATATTCCAATATCCGTCCCTTTACCAGTGTACATTTCCCACCACCAACGTCACCAGTATCCATCCCCCTACCCCTCCACCTGCCTCTGTGACAGGCACGTCTCTTTTTCTCCCTCTCCCTCTTCCTCTTCCTTTTCATCTCCCTCCTCTTCCTCCTCTCTCTCTCTCTCTCTCTCTCTCTCTCTCTCTCTCTCTCTCTCTCTCTCTCCCCTCCTTTTCTCTTTCACTTTTTATTTTGGTTTGTGTTTTATGAAGCAAGATAGTTTTTATTGAACAGAATTTACTTATGTGTGAGGGGAGAGAAAGATAGGAATGTGTGTTCAAGAGACAATACGGGCTTCTCCAGAGTGGAAAAGCCAGCAAGCAAAGGGAGAGATTCTGTGTGTTCAGTGGAGAGCACAGCTTTGAAAGAGTAGAGATACCAGTTCAGGAGAGAACAGAGAGGAAGCAAACCTGCTCCAGTGTTTATGTTCTGTCAGAAATATTTAAAGATAGAGTTTGTTTCTTTGTTTACTTGTTTTTCTTGTGGCGGGCCACACCCAGCTGTGCTGAGGGCTTACTCCTGGCTCTGCACTCAGGGATCATTTTGGGTAGTACTCAGGGGACCTTATAGGGTGCTGGGGATTGAACCCCAATCCACTGCTTGCAAGGTGAGTGCTTTACCCACTGTACCCACTTTACACCCACTGTCTCTCACCCCAGACTGTCATATTTTCATCTTAAAAATGTCTATAAACAATTTTTGCTTACAGTGTTCTTCACTTGAAGTTCTATGTTTACATTATTATTTGCTTGAAGCTCATTTATTGTTGGTAACAGAAAAGATTCTTATTTTAATACCTCAGTCTTTCTTCTAAATATCAGGCAGTACATCTCTAAGGGCACACATTATGAAATTGGTGATATTTTGATGTAAACTAAAGTTAAACACAAGATCCAATACCTATATGTACATATGAGAGTAAGTCATATCTCTAAGTCATATCTCAAACTATCTTGACTGCAAAAAAATTAGTGACTGCTAATTTTAGTTATATAACTTGAAATTCTCAGGATCATTATGACCTGAAATAATTGCATGTTTTGGGGGACAAGGAGGGGGGGAGGAAAGAAAAAAACAAACGGTAGGAGTTGGTTGGAAAAGTTTCTCAGTCAACGCAATGACATCATGCTTGGAAATATTTTGATATTGTGAAAGAAGGCTCAAGAAAATACAGTTACCTAGTAGCTTGGAGATGCCCAGAGCTGCTTAACTACATAAACAGTTGCTGGCACTTTCTGAAGCTGCCAGCATAAATGTCTGCATCTTTTAATGAAGAAAACAGACCCGGATCTGTGGGGGGCTTTGGAGCTGGACTGTTTCCGCCTGTGTACAAGAGAGCCAAAGTCAGGAGGTTTTTGAGAAGAAGAAATGTTGTAAAATATCTCAAGTGTCCGTGGAAATTACATTGAGATAAAACACAGAAAGGAGGTTTCTGTTCCAATGTAATGTTTATGAAATATCATCAGTATCTATGGAAATAAAATTTAGGTAAAACATAAGACATAGAAAAATTTCAATTTGAGAACCAAAAATGATACCTTTAAAAAAATCAATCATTTTTATATTCACATAGGGATTTTAATAGACTAAGAATTAATTAAATAAAAGTTTAATTTTTATGGGACTCTTTTCCAGAGGGGGGCACTTAATTTTTTATGAGATTTCTGAGATAATTGAAATGCCAGTATTTCTACATAGAAGTTTGAATTTTAGTTAAGATAAAACTGGGCAACTTTTTTTCTTCCTTTGGGAAAAAATTCTTTTGTAGGGCATTTTAATTAAAATTGTATTTCGTACAGCCTTTAAAAGACACCTTTTCCCTTTTAATTTCTTTCCCTTTCTCTCCTTCTATTCTTCTTATGCTGTGGATCAAATCTTGGGTTTCACCCATGTGAAGTGTACTTTCAGACCTACAACTCTGTCTCAGCCAGAATCTCTTCTAGATAAAGGCGCAAATCACAGTCTGTTTTCACATAAATCTGTTTTCATCTTCCAAAACCATAATACTGTTTAGAAAATGAATAGTTAATGCTCATATTTGTAATAAGATGATGAATTTTGTTTCATTTCAGAGGCATGATAAAAGAACTACATTGACCCTTGAACTATTAACAAATGCTTTCATTTTTATGTTTTCCACCTTTTGAATTTGTTTTATGAGTAGTCAGGTTGTTCAGAGGCATGTGAGTGAGTTCCTTGTGCATATTTCATGCCAGAGAGACAAAACGGAACTGCCTCTATGGACTGTAACACAAACATTTTCTCATTGTGATTAACATGGTACTTGTTTCAACAGCATTTGTTTCAGTTTTAATGTAAAAGAAGCACTTGGGTGGAATCCCAGATATTTGGGAGGTAATATTTTGCTGAACTGATTATTTCAATTATTTTGTATTAGAAGAGCTCTTTTAGATTCTGTGGAAGATGGAAAACGTTGGTTGATTCGTCCATAGAATTTGAACCATCACATTTAATGTCTAGACATTTTTCTCTTGAGCTGATCTTACATTTCCAATGAAAATATCTGCTTTTATAAGCATAAGAAAAGTTTTACATGTCTCCTTTAAAATGTAATAGCTAAATCACAGCCAAATGTAGGAAGCTACATTTTCACTCTCTTCAAGTGAGATAACTGTAGTTTGTAAAGAGAAAACTAATGTACAACAATAGCTGGAAATCATCACTCTGGACAAAAACTGAATGATGACAGGAGGTAAAGTGATATGCATGATACCCTTTCAGTAACAGTGTTATTCCCCTCCTCAGAAAAAAAGCCCTTAACTACAGATGTTCGTACCATTAGAAATATTTAAATTACTATAGAAAGTGCAATGAAATTTTTTTAAATAAATCAGGATTTCGTTCTGACTCTAGACAGGGCTCAGACTATAGTTTTTTCTTTTCCTCTTTTCTCCATCCATATTTCCTCACTTCCTCTTCCACACAAAACACACACACAAACACACACACACACACATACACTAATGTGCGTGCACACACACACGCACACACCACTCAGGAGACAGCTCAAAGGTAAGGCCTGTAGGCCAATACTTTGCACCACTGTAACATATAAACACACAAACAAAGAGATGTGCCAAGGAGTTGTATTTTTTTATATGTAAGTCTTCCTGTTCTAAAGTCTGTAACCATGAGTCTTTGCTCAAAGGCAGATTTATAGATAAGTAACCTGGTTCTCTGGAAGAGCTGAGTATCTTGGGTGATTGGATTTACACTCCAGTTTTAGTTCAATGTGTTGATAGTTGGTAGGGTTTGTGCTAGTGCAATCCCATTCTCTCTAGGTGAAGTCTAGACTTGCATGTCAAACTTATCAGTAAGTTCACATGACTACTCTTATTTGCATTGTCTTCTGCCAAAAAATAGCATGCTTCTATCATAACTGTGTTTCTCTGTTGATCTCTGCTCTTTGTACTTCTTCTGTAGTGAAATAAAGTGACTTACAAATTATTATGAACATTTTTGGCATTTCATGACAAATTGTAGTCTAATTTAATGATTTGAAGAGAGTTTATAGTGTTTCCCTCCATGTGATTAATTTTAGGAGAATTATTTTAAAATAAACCTAATGTAGAAAATGTTTTATCTTAAGATGTGTATAAAATGGCAGTGCATTGATGGGAGAACGATATTTTTGTTAATGTAGTTTCTCTTTGTTGACTAGATTCTCCTGAATTATTTTGGAAACTATGTACCAAATGTGTGGACACAGGATAATGGCTGCACTTTTTGTGACTTGGATACAATTGACTTGTCAGCAGTACATGTAAGTAGAATTTGACTGCCTCTGAAATGTAATTAATAACAGTACATTTTCTTTTTTAAAAAATTTATTTATTGAATCGCTGTGAGAACAGTTACAAAGCTTTCAGGTTCGAGTCTCGGTCATACAATGATCAAACACCCATCCCTTCACCAGTGCATATTTTCCACCACCAAGAACCCCCACATACCCCCTATGCTACCCCTGCCCATGCCTGTGAGGCAAATGATTTCCACTTAACTCTCCCTCTACTTTGATTTCATTCATTATTTCGACAAAAGATGCACCATTATTATTTGGACTTTCCCCCCAGTAATCAAACCTGCTGAAAGCATCATGAAATAATTTATTTTCTATTGTTGGTTATAAAGACCATACCATGTCCATATGGCTATTGCGGCCGTGCGATTTTGGATTTCTGATATTTTACTAATTAAGTCTGGAGGTATTTCTTCCAAAAGCCGAATAGTTCCGAGATTGGTTTGTGTGTCTCTGGGTCCATGGCTGTGCCGGTGAGCTGCTCGTGGGGGGCAACTTGGGTCTCGGCAGGGCAAGAGGGACATGCCTGTTCCACCCCCCAACCCATGAGGCTGCAGTTGCCCCAGCTCATACCTGGCTGTCCAATAAGCTCTGTGGCAGCAGCCACCATGCCGCCAGGGGTTGAAAATGGCAGAAGAGACAGACATCCTTTCTTCTCTCCCGGGGGTGCAGTGGGGTGGCAATGGGCGGCACAGCCCTGTAGCTTAATGCATAGTCCATTCACATTTCTGCCAGAAGCTGCTCGTTGGGGGGCAGCTCATGGTCTCAGCAGGGCAAGAAGGACGTGCTGGTTGGTACATTTTCATAAAATTTGGTGATATATCAAAAAGGGAAAAAGACAGTTATTTTGATAATATGGTAGATAATTGTACCTATAAAGCCAAAACATGATGACTCAGAAAAGTGGCAGATTAGACTGTTCATGAACTTGTTTTGAAAGTCAAACCAGGTAATAATGGACCCTGTAGGCGGGACTTCCTAGGTTGTTCATATTTCATAGCATGGATGCCATGGTATTCTTTTTATTTTCAGTTGATTTGATCAGTGCTTGGAGAGAAAACATCCTTTGAGTGCATCAGCATTTGTACTGACAAATTTCACCTGTGCTTGGTGTTCTGGTTTTGTTTTCATTTTCTTTTTTTTCCCTTGTGTGTTTTTTTGGGTCACACTCGAAGATACTTAGGAATTACTCCTGACTCTATGCTCAAGAATTATTCTGGTGATGCTCAGGGGATCATATGGGATGCTGGGCAGCCAACAGGTTCGGGCTGCAAGCCAGGCAGTGCCTTCCCTGTTGTATGGTCATGGTAGCCAGGTACTTGATTTTCCAGTGTGCTAGAATGAATAACAATTTGGAGTATTTTCTTTCTTGCTTTCTTTTTTAATTGAGTTACTGTGAGATACAGTTCCAAAATTTCATATTTGAGTTACAATCATACAATAATCAAACACCCATCCTTGCACCAGTGCACATTCCCTACCACCAATGTCCCCAGTATTCACCCCTCTTTCCCACCCTCCCTCTGCCTCCATGGCAGATAATTTCCCCCATACTCTCGCTCTCCTTTTGGGCATTATGGTTTGCAATACAGATACTGAGGGATTATCACATTTGATCCATTATCTACTTTCAGCACACATCTCCTATCCCGACTGATCCCTCCAACCATCATTGACTTAGTGATCCCTTCTCTATTCCAGCTGCCTTCTCTCCCTGCTCCTGAGACAGGCTTCCAACTTCGGGGTAATATTCCTGTCCCTTGTGTCTACTATTCTTGAGTGTCAGTCTTATATTATTTTATAATAATCAGACATTTCATAAAAAGTCTCTTAAGTAGATATTTCTTTGGCTAGTTTTTCAGCTGAACAAATTGAAGCCCAGACAGGTTTAAGGACATAATTTTTTCCAGTTGTTGGAGGTGGGATTTGAATTTTGACAGTCTGACAAGTACAGCCCTTGTATTCTTGACCACTGTATAATTTCACACACAGCATGTGCCAATTATGCCAGGTGTGGTCTATAACAATAAATATCTTAAAACTCGAGTTTAACATTTATACTTGGAGAACAAAGGAGCAATTGGAAGCATTTTTTATATTACATACATTTTTCCAGTCCTTCATCTGTCATCTATTAAAAAAGTATTAGGATTTTCTGTAGTAACTTATAAAAATTTACATTTCCAACTTGCAAGACTATTGTAGGTATACATAGTTGTGTTCCTAGGATGGCATTTTCATTAATTATTCTCATTCACCATACATTTATCTATTTATATACACTATGCCAGATAAATAATACCAATAGTCGCAGTAGTAAAATTCCCAGGGATAAAAATCTGCCAAATCCTAGGAATATACCAGTGGAAAATATCCTCACTGTAAAACATTCAGGCTCCTGAATTAAATACTTTCTATTTACTTTCTGAAAAGAGGATAAAGAGCAACTTATGGCCACATTTAGAACCTCCTGAATAGAGCCCCATTTTATTTGAAAATAAGACTGTGGGCAGGCTCTGAAATAATAAACTCAATATTTCCTTTCTGGAAAGATTGCCAGAATATTTCTGAATGAAGCTGCATTATGAAGATGTTTAAAAATTCATCCTAATCTTGTTTAGAGAAGATAGATTTATCCCCTGGAGGGAGAGTAAATACTTTTTATCTGTTTGGTTCCTATTTACATAAACTTTTTAGTGCAAAGATATAGGAATATTTATTTTCTTTTGTGTGTATATGGAGAGAGAAAAATAAATCATTGGGTCCTAAAACTCTTTTGTCTCACAGCCTAGTAAAATGTGCTCTTAAGGAACTTATCCTATCATATAAAATATAACATAAATTACTTAGTTATTTTATATATTATAATTACATAATAGAAATGTAAAAGTTAAAATTATGTGGCGATAGTTAATATCTCAGACTACCTACCATATTCTTAGGGATAGGCCAAGGACAAGTTTGTTTATAAAGAAGCAGTAATAGCTCTCTCAAGACAACTCAGAAGACTTGTATGTAGATGGGTTAAGTGGGGTAGGTCACACCTGACTGTGCTCAGGGCTTACTCCTGACTTTGCATTCAGGAATTGCTCCTGGTAGGGCTCAGGGGATCATGTATAAGTGCTGGGGATCAAACTTGAGTTGACCGTATGCAAGGCAAGTGCCCTCCCCGCTATACTATTGCACTGGCCCAGAAATTTTATATATGAATGATATTTTATGTGCAGGGATTATATATTCTATATAAAGTTTACACATAAATTAAATAGTAGTCGTTGCTTTATTATTAGTAGTATATAAAAATAAACTTTATTAGAGGTCACGAGTTGCCCCCCATGAGCGGCTCTCCGGCACGGCCATGGCTCCAGGAGCACAAGGACTTAATGCAGAGTCCGGCAGCTTACAGCAGAAAAGTGAATGGACTATGGGTTAATCCACGCCGTCATGCCTGCCTGGAGGGGAAAAGGTGTTGCTCCCTTCTGCCTTTTTCCCTCTGGAAAGAAAGATGGCAGCCACTTTGGAGCTTTATGGAAAGCCAGGGATGAGCCAGTCATGATGGGGCGACTGAAACCTCATGGAAAGGAGGGCATTCCCGGCTCACCCTTCATGCCCTACCGAGGTCACAAGTTGCCCGCCATGAGCGGCTCTCCGGCACGGCCATGGCTCCAGAGCACAGAAACCAATCTCATAATTATCTGACTCTCAGCAGAAATACTTCCAGGCTTAATAAGTAAAATACCAGAAATCCAAAATTGTGTGGCAGCAATAGCAGCCGCGTGACATCATTTGAGTCTTGTGAACAGCTGTAGAAAACAAATTATTTCACAATGCCTTTTCAGCATGTCTGATTTGGGGGTGTAAACTCTAAATAATAGTGGTGCATCTTTTGTCGAAACAATGAATCTAATCAAAGTAGATAGAGTGTTAACTAGAATTCATCTGCCTCACAGGCATTGGGAGGGCTGGGGGGGCGTTTATTGGGGTTCTTCGCGGTGAAAAAATAAGTATTGGTAAAGGGAAATGTGTTTGATATTTGCATGACTGAGACTTAAACCTGAAAGCTTTGTAACTTTTCCCACAGTGATTCAATAAATAAGTAAATAAAAAAAAGATTTATTAACCTCAAAAAATATTTTTGATGATAATTTAAATAAACACATTTATATCAATAAAAAATAAACTTTATTAATGGAGTACCATCTAGCATGTTTTGATACCACACAATCAAACCCTACTCATTTATAGCATGCTTTGCTACTGAACCCTGAAACCCTATTCTTCGCCCCCTCATTTAAGCATTTGGGATTCTTGGCTCCTTTAAGTTCCCTTTTCCTCAGATACCAGTTTAAAATGATAAATAGCATTTATAGCTCCTTTGACATATCATATCATGAAATATATCATTTCGTTTGGTAAGGGAAAGTTATGATCTGCACTTCACTTACTCTCCCTCTTAAAAATTGAGAATCTCTAGCCGCGAGATTCTTCATCTTTAGATGTTTGCAAATTTTCCACTGTTAAATAAAAGAATTTCTATGAAGTTAGTATGTGGGCGAGTGAAGTGGTGTAGAAGTACAACCGAATACAGGTTGTACATCTATGCCAACAAGTTTGCATGTAATCCATAAATTGAAGAATGTGTAGATTCCACTGTAAAATGTGAATAAAGATGGAAGCATCATGAACTTCAGTCTTTGCCGTCTGTGGGTCTAAAACCCAGTTTAAAAAGATCTTATACAGAAGTCTTTGTTATATATTGGTAATAACATGATTACATGGTCATTTACTTATACTGACTTGTGAATGTAAGTTCAAATAAAAAACGCTCCTTATATAAATATTACTAATCACATGCACTGATAAAATAACTTTTTACAAGTTGTCATGCAGTGAATGAAAAATGAACTGTTCCCTAAAGCATACCCAAAGCCAATTTAAGAAAATGTATAAAAATAGATACAGGAAATAGTTTTCCTAGCATTTGAGTGAAACAAAGTGAAGTACTGTCAGTAAAATGAGATTAAGGAAACAGCCAAGGACAGAGATAATGGCTTGACTATGTCATGAATGCTTTATTTGAACTACGAGTTAAGCACTGGCCTTCGAAGCTATCAAATCGGGTAGGAAAACACAGTTAGCAATCTGGTTTCTTTGATGATGTTGTCATGTTTGGTTATACCTAAAGGAAGTTTCTAAGGACCATCATGGAGGAAGTGTTGACCCATACTGTGAGCACTAAGTGAGCAGTAGCTTGGTCATATTCGCAGAGTAGAGTGTTGCTTTCCTCCTCACACCCAGGGCATCTCGTGATAGCAAAAATCACTTTGGTGAAATCTACAAAAATAGATGTCACATGCTAGAGATTGCCATTGGACAACTCAGATTTGTTACAATGGTAGCCTAGATACTATTAGACTGATTAAGACTTAGCTGAAGGGGGCTGGAGTGATAGCACAGTGGATAGGGTGTTTGCCTTGTATGAGGTTGACCTTGGTTCAATTCCCAGCATCCCATATGGTCCCCCTAGCACTGCCAGGAGTAATTCCTGAGTGAAGAGCCAGGAGTAACCCCTGTGCATTGCCGGGTGTGACTCACTGTCATTGTCACTGTCCTCTCGTTGTTCATCGATTTTTTTGAGCGGACCCAAAAAGCAGAAAAAAAAAAAAAGAAAAAAAAAGACTTCGCCCGCTCCTCTCTGGAAAGAAAGATGGCGGCCGCACGGGAGCCTTGTGGAAAGCAGGTTTGAGCCGGGGCTGGCGGGAGCGGCAGGGACCTCATGGGAAGGGGGGCTTTGTGGGCCGTCCCCCACGCCCCACCGAGGTCGCCAGCTGCCCCCCACGAGCAGAGCCGGCACGGCCACGGCCCCGGAGGCACAAGGACTTAGCACAGAGAACCAGCCGCTTGGAGCAGAAAAGCAGATGGACTTGTGTTGAACCGCGCCACCAAGCCGGCCCGGAGGGGGAAGGGCGTTGACTGGCCCGCCTGCTCCTCTCTGGAAAGAAAGATGGCGGCCGCACGGGAGCCTTGTGGAAAGCAGGTTTGAGCCGGGGCTGGCGGGAGCGGCAGGGACCTCATGGGAAGGGGGGCTTTGTGGGCCGTCCCCCACGCCCCACCGAGGTCGCCAGCTGCCCCCCACGAGCGACTCTCCGGCACGGCCACGACTCCAGGGCACACAAACCAATCTCTTAACTAGCTAACTTTTAATAGAAATTCTTCCAGGGTCAATAAGTAAAATAGCAGAAATTCAAAACCGCGCGGCCGCTATTGCGGTCGCGCAACATCATTTTATTCTTGAACCAAGTTGTAGAAAGCAAATCATTTCACAACGCTGTTTCAGCATGTCTGATTGTGGGGGGTGGGTCGTAAACTCTAAACAATAATTGTGCATCTTCTATCGAAATAATCTATCTAGTCAAAGTAGATAGAGTATTAACTAGAACTCATCTGCCTCACAAGAATTGGGAGGGGTGGGAGGTGGGGGTCTATTGGGGTTCGGGGTTAAAAATGAGTATTGGTAAAGGGAAATATGTTTGGTATCTACATGACTGAGACCTAAACCCGAAAGCTCTGTAACTTTTCCCACAGTGATCCAATAAATAAATAAATTATAAAAAAAAAAAAAAAGACTTAGCTGGAATTTTCTGAATAACTTAGCAATTTTAAAAAACCTAAAATTTATAATCTCTGTGTTTAATTCTAAACCTAGTTCCAATTCACATAAGCATTTCATAAATTTTCTCTATAAAACTTATTCCTAACAAAACTATTTTCCATTTCTGTAAAGTCAGTTATATAAATAAAATAAAAATAAAACAACCCAAAATTAATTTTCTAAAACTAAATGTTTAGCAACATATATTTTACTGTGTAGGTTCAAAATTATTCTGCATCTGTTTCTTTTCTAAAGGGAGTGACAATTTAGGATTTTGGGTCTTTGTGCATGTGTTTTATTTTTATAAATAAATATTTTACATATATATTAATTTATCAAAAAAAGACTTAGCTGAAATCTGAATTGCCACTAATAATGTTTTTGTTTTCCATAAAACCCAGGTCTACCCAAATGTCACCATAGGAGTTTTCATCGAACAGCCAACCCCTTTCCTACCTCGATTTTTGGACACACTGTTGGCATTGGATTACCCAAAAGAAGCCCTTAAACTCTTTATTCATAATAAGGTAAGTATTTGAGGAATGAATGTTTTGTGTAAACTCCACTTTTAATTTTTCCTATCATATATTTATTTATTATTTATTTATTAGAAAAAGAAAAACAAAAAAAAACAATCCATTACTCTAGCATCCGTGGAGCAGCTGGGGATTGCTCTCAGTCCTGTCTTCCTTAGGACCAAACTATTTTAGAGTGTAGCAGCTGTTATTACAGTTATTGAGGTAGCACCCATGAAACTGCCTCTGGTTATAGGTCAAAAATGTTGAATTTAGCCATTTCTGTAGGGCTCAGTTCAGATATACTGAAGGCCCATCAGAGGCTCTTATATTCTGTTGCCTAAAGTAGTGCTTAAATCTTTGGCATGTGATAAGACCGTAACATGAAACTGGCTTTTAGAATATTGTTTTAATTAAATTAATTATGGCTTGTTCTACCCAAGAGGGTCTGGATAGGGTCCTGGCCTTCAGAATTACTCGCCCCCCACCCCCCCATCAGATCTGAAAGATAGCATTTAGCATCCTCTGGAAAAACTCAGGAAGTGTGCAGAACTCCATGCCTTCTCTCCTCTTTCGTGTACCATTGCCTCCTTCCCGATGCCCTTTGCAACTAATCAGCCTCTGCCGGAGAAATATTTTAATGTGTAGAAAATGTGCTCACATAGAGAGTGGGTCATTGTATGCTGATTCTGTAAGATGCTGTGATGTCTGTTCTTAATTTAAGTCTTTTTGTTTTTATGTGTTTCATCTTTTATATGTGTCACCCATTTATCTTTGTCCTCCTTCTGGCATCAGGGAGCTTAAACCCCTGGGAGGCAACTTTTCTGTTCTCTGCTTTTCCTTAAAATTGATTCTTGGTAACTTTTACGTGCTGTCATCTTATTGAATTAATTTATTTTTAAAAATCTTTTTTAGTGGTTCATTTTTGTTTTTATTTGGGGGCCACACCCAGTGGTGCTCAGGGCTGACTCTGGGCTCTGCACTCAGGAATTACTCCTGGCGGTGCTCAGGGGACCATATGCCAGGGATCAAACCGAGATTGATGACATATAAGACAAAAGTCCTACTCCATTATATGGTCACTCCAGCCCCATGTGCTGTCATTTGAGGGAGTCATGAAAAGCTTCTGATGTAAAGGGGTCTGAGGGGCTGCTTTGCATGTGTGAGAATCTAAGGCTTTTAGATTCTACTAAGAGAAGTGTAGCTCTAAAAGCAGCTGAGAACTGCTTCAGTGATGGAGCTTGGTCATCCCATCCACATTCTAGCAGGTTCCCTCTAATGACTCCTGTTGAATTTCTCCTTCCATTTCCCTGTCAGTTTGCTTTTGTCAAGTGTTCCCACCTCTTGGTGAAAGCACAAGTTTCCTTGAGATGATGAATGTTCCCCTCTGGTCTCCAAGAATTTGTGAAATGTGAGCATTTATAGCTTAGATTAAGATCTATTTTGTTGGCTAGACTTTTTAATGAGTGTTTTATGGTGAATGTCTACGATCCTGAAGTCAGAAGCCATTTTAAATTTTTCTGGTTAGAAACATTTGATTATTTATGCAGAGCATGTAGAGGAGTAAATGTTGGTAGAGTAAAAAATAATAATTTTTCTTAAAAAATAAGAATTTTTACCGACTTCTACTTTCTTGGGTGCCATTCAATATATAGATATACCATATTAAATATAATTTTCGCTTTACCAGTATGCAAATACCAGTATGTGGAGTGTGCAGTTCACAACTTTGTGCTGCCAGTCCTAGTAATTCTTTAGTCCCTTCATGTCTCATCTCCTCTCTTCTTGTTTTTTTTTTTTATATGTTACAGGAAGTTTATCATGAAAAGGACATCAAAGTATTTTTTGATAAAGCTAAACTTGCTATTGGTACCATAAAAATAGTGGGACCAGAAGAAAATCTGAGTCAAGCGGAAGCCAGAAACATGGGCATGTGTGTGTTAACCAATTTGAACATTTTAACCTAAGGCACTTGGAAGAAAACCACCATTTTCCTTCAAAATTTGTTCTCTAAATTTCAGTGTCTCAGCAGTGTATATGTGTGTGCGCATGTGTGCATATGTGTGTATGTGTGTGTACTTATGTGTGATTATTTTTACCCCTGTGTTTGTGTATATTTTCACATGTAAAGGACTAAAGGACTAAGAAATTTTGTTCCTTAATCTCTCCGAACTAACCTATTTTACCAAACGATTCATATAACATCAGTGAGAATTTTAAAAATATTCAGACTATAATCATGCGGGTGACTGACTGATGTCCCAATGGTTTCATGTTTCCTTCTGAAGATTCTATAGGGTCAGTCTAGGGTGAGGAAGGGGACAGAAAGCCAGTTCTCAGTTTCCAGTTACCTCCTGATTGAGAACATTCTGGAAGCCTCAGAAGAAATAATGCAGATTCCTTGTAAAGCCCCTTAAATGTGACTTCAGCAGAACTATTACAGTGACAGTAAGACTAGCCATTTGCTCATTGAGTTCATACAGTATGCCACACCCTGGGTTGAGTTGCTCTGAAGGGAACTGGGTCAGAGTGTCTCCTCATGGCTTTGTCTTGGGCTGGTTTATCACTCAGGATCCAAAGGGATGCATACTGAGTCGGATAGACAGACCCCAGGAAAACTGAACAGATGTCACTAGTCAAGCTTCCATGATACAGTCATTGGCAGATCTTGCATCTTCATGCAGAACTTGTTTTGTCTCTTGCTTTTCTTACCCTAATGAGCTTTCCTCCCTGGTAACCAGTTTGATAGTGGCTAGCATGAGCATTTGTTTCCCCTGGCTTAAAATTTATTATAAACCTACAAACATCTGTGTTGATGAATTTACCATTTTGAAGTTAGATTGTATGCATCTCTTTAGACATTGCCTTACTGTCTCTATTAGAAAAGCATGCTAGAGAAACCTTATTTCATATAGGAAGTTTATGGTAACACTTGTCAACTAGCCAATATTTACTTTTTCTCATTCTTGTTTTCAACATCAGGGATTTTTGCCGTCAAGATGAAAACTGTGATTATTACTTTAGTGTGGATGCAGATGTGGTTCTGACAAACCCAAGGACTCTAAAACTTTTGATTGAACAAAACAGGTACTATATAAGACTCATGCCAGTTCATTTGTTTTAAGTGATAATCATTTTCTTTGCCTTTGTGTGGATGTGCCATTGTGTAAACTCACACAAGTGGGGGCACGGCACCCACAGCGGTGGTGGCTCTATCTCTCCCGCCATCCGCGTTCGGTAGTCTCACCCTTCTCCCACCCCGGAGAGGTCGATGGCGATGGTCAGGCAGAGGAAAGAACGAGGGCCAGGCTGGTAGGTATTAGTCGTAGTTTATTCTGATTCTCTCCTCATCTCTTCTTCTATCTCTCTGCTCCCAATTCCTCCTCCCCCAGCTACTTCATTCTCCTTCTCCATCGCCCTTCATCCTCCTCTCTCTCTGATCCTCTCTGAACTCTCCTCTTCCTTCTGCCCTCTGCCCACTCCTACAGTACAGTTAAATCCTCTCTCCATGAGGAATTGGGGAAACAATTACACATAGGTGTGGTCACAGTCAGTAGGGGTGGAGATCAACAGGGGAAGAAATCTTAGCCTCAGGACAGATCCTTCCTCAGCAGGAGGACCCACCCTAGAGCATAATCCCATGGGCGTGCCTCTCCTCTCCTTGTCAGACAAGCATGTAAGAATATAATATAAATCATTTTGTATGGATACAGTAAGAAATATCTTAAACTTATAGAATTGCTCTCCTAGGGCCATCTCGATCTCAGACTACAGTGCTCAGGCCAGATAGTCTTTCCCACCCCTAGCAGGATCCTAGTCTTGTCGTTACCTTTGGATCATGACAGCATTTGTCTATGATCAAACTCTTAATTTACAGTTAAGAATCGTGGCACTTTAGCCTGGCCCATTTCGCTGCCAGGGTAGCTCACCGCTTGCTCTGGGTCCATTCAGTCCCTCATCGGGACCCTGCTTTTGGGGTGTTAGGAACTAAGGGTAACTGAGGCTTAAGTCGAGAAAGCAGATGCCCGGGAGTGAATAATATTCAAAGCCAATCAAATCCTAAGTTACAAAGCATAATGTTAACAGTCTTCCTGTATCTATACAAAAAGGATATTACTTTAAGGTAAACTGTTCATAAGGCCCTCCCGTTGATCGTCGATTTGCTCGAGCGGGCCCAGTAACGTCTCCATTGGAGACTTTGTTGTTACTGTGTCTGGCATATCAAATACTCTCGGTAGCTTGCCGGGCTCTCCGAGAGGGGCGGAGGAATCGAACTCGGGTCGGCCATGTTGGCCGCTTGTAAGGCGAACGCCCTAAGGCATAAGGAGAGGAGAAAGGCAATATTTCACTCATACATATAAAATCATAGATTTCTGGGAAACTGATCTTACAAATTAACAAAGTCTGATTAAGGGGAAAGCTGATTAACTGGGTGGGAAGGAGAGCATAGGGAAGACTGTTTACATGTTTACAGATAAACACAATGGAAGTGGAAGTACCTCTGGAGCACTGTGGTGGGTGTAACCAGATAGATGGGTGTAACCAGATAAACCTAAGCTCCTTGTAGAAGGACAAAGCAGTGTTACCCAACATGCCATGATTTTTTTTTACCTGTGCTGTAGCAAATTGAGAACACCTTTTTTTTGCCCCTTATAAACTTTTCATTCTAAGTATAAACTTTTCATATAGATGAGTCAAATAAAAGGAAAAAAGAAAATGACAATTAGAAAGATTAATTATAGTTTCAATATTTGTTACGATCACATATGTGGTACTTGCCCATTCTATTTGGTCTGTGTTTTACTTACACATTACTTTTTGCTTTGTCCTGGTAATAAGCACAGAATTCATAGTTGTGTGGTTATTTAAAAATAGTCACCTGCATTGTTTTTGGTTCTTATTAGGAAGATTGTCGCTCCTCTCGTCACTCGTCACGGTAAGCTGTGGTCCAACTTCTGGGGCGCGTTGAGTCCTGATGGCTACTATGCTCGGTCTGAAGATTATGTGGATATTGTCCAAGGGAACCGAGTGTGAGTTACTTGTTTTAATCTTCAAATGTCAGATGCCATGATCTAAATGTATTTTTAAGATCACTTTCACTGTTTGGAAATCTGTAAATGAGCCGCATTTATCAATTGAAGCAAACAAAATTTGCACCCACCTCTGAAATCTTCCATTATTTCCTCTTCCATGAGTTTTCAGCATAAAACACAAATTCTCTGCTGTGAAGAGAAATCAATTATTTTATCAACATTGACTCCCATTTCTAGTTGGAAATGATATGTTTATGATGATAAAATGTCTGCATGATTGATTTTATTTCAGTAGTTGATTTGGTCCACACATGGCAGTTGGCATACTTCTGGCTCTGGCTTAGCTTGTGAGGGGACAGGGACAGGGGGACCGAGACCACCTGTCGTGCTGGCCGCATTGGCTGCATGTAAGGAAGGCAGGTAACTTAACCCCTGAACTATCTCTTTGGTCCAGCAGTTAATTTCCTTTCTTTTTATTTTTGTTTAAGTAAAATAGTTTTATTTAGGGAATAGGGAGGGAGAGAGGGAGAAGGTAGAGGAGAGACAGAAATAGAGAGATTGAGAATGGAGAAAAAAAGAAAAATATTGGCTTCTCCAGAAAGGACAAAACAGAAAGTGCCTCATGAAATAAAAATAAAAGAAAGGTGATGTATTTCCTGAGTTGAGATGATTTTGACTCTATCCTGTGTGGTGTTGATGGATATGGTAGTGGCTTGTTCTTAGAGCGAGCAAGTCCTGATCATTCCCCCAACTCCTGGGGTGTGAATACTTCTTCCAGGATGCTTTGGAAACTTTTCGATGAGTCACAACAGACCTGGGCAGTGAAGCTGGCCATGCGCTCTGAGGAAGCAGCAGTCAGCTGGCTGTAGTGTGACCCTCCTCGCTCATATGGGATTTTTGTTTGCTAGTAAACTGCTTAATCTTTCACAAAAACACCTTCTGAATGTATTATTTTACTCTCACACTTTGGACTGAGTAGCCATTGACTGCCAAAGTCAACCAGTGTCAACCAGTGTCAACCTCGAGTTGAAGATTTTTAGGCCAAGTTGACCTCATACAAACATGTTGACAGAGTTACTAAGTAGCGCATGGAGATGCTGATCCCTCCCTCACACGTACGCATGTGTTTGTATGTGTCAAACACCATTCAGGATTTTTTGCGTTTCTCTGAATTGAGAACTCACGTCCACACAATGAAGCCTTGGTTTTTAAAGCGTATCAATAGATAGTCTAGGTGTTTGGTTATTTTGGGTATTTTGATGTCTTGTCTTTCCCTGCAGAGGAATATGGAATGTCCCGTACATGGCTAACGTGTACTTGATTCGAGGGAAGACTCTCCGGTCGGAGATGAATGAGAGGAACTATTTTGTTCGTGATAAGTTGGATCCTGATATGGCCCTATGCCGTAACGCTCGAGAAATGGTAGGGTCTAGGTTGGGGATTGGTGTGGGGATGCTCACCCAATGCTTGCTTTCCCAGTGATGTGTCACTGTGTTGGATGCCTTTTTAATTCTTTCTAATTTGTAAAGTACTAGCCAGCTTTTTTGGTTCCTTATTGAAAATTTGTGAGGAATTAGAATTGGTGAATATTTACTTCCAGAAGCTATAGGGAAAGTGTTGAATTTGATGGTTAAGCCAGCTCATAGTCAATAATGAGAGTTTGGTAAGAACCAGATTTGTATCAAACCAGTTTTGCCTTTTGAAGAATTTATCTTTACTTCCAGTTGAAATTTTGTAGTGAAAACCTGATCTCATTAAATTCAATTAGGCAGTGTCCTAGTGAAATACCACACATGTAAGAGCATGCTTTTATTTTTAAATCAAAGTCCATATGTTTTGAATTATTACCAGCTCTATAATAGCAAATTCTTTACCACACTAACTGGAAGATTGGGAAATACCGTATCTAATATATGTGACGAGTTAGTGACTCTGCTAATCTGCAAAGAATTATACTATGAAAATCTTTGTAAAGATTACAAAATTTACTATAAAACGAATTGTTACTGGAGAAAACTGTTTCTCAAAATGTTGTATAGGACCGAAAACACTTATATTGTTTTTGTGTTAGACGTGCTTGGGTTCCTTTATTCACATTTGTGTAGCAAATGTGATTTTGGGGGAAAAAAACCAGAAAATTTGGCAAGTATTTTTTCTTCGTTTAATAAGGCATGTGTTGTGTAAATGTATTTGTTTTCCCTATGTGTGCACTGTTCCGTGGAACAGCCTCAGCACCTGTGATCAAAACCTGTGCTCCTGCAGCGCCTAATTCCTTCAACAGTGCATCCCGGAATGGCCTCTCACCTGGTTTTTATTCTCTCCCTTTGTCTTAATTTTGTGTCTGATGAAAGTTCTGCTAAGGAATGAGCTTGGGTTTATGTTTGACCAGAAAGGAGAAAGAGAAAAAAGGAAGGGCCGGATTTCTTCTTTGTGTGCGCTAAGCTTTGCCTGAGCTGCATGTTGTCTCTGAAGGACTTTTCGGAATGTAGCTTTCCGTCAAAGGCTGCTGTTTTTATTTTCCTGAAATTACCTGAGCCAGTGGTCAACTTACAGGTCAACTTACCCAATGCTTCTCTTCATTTTAGACTTTACAAAGGGAAAAAGACTCCCCTACTCCGGAAACATTCCAAATGCTCAGCCCCCCAAAGGTGTTATTTTTTATTTATTGTTATTTATTTTTGTTGATGAATATGAGCCATGGTAATTTACTTAGCAGTAACGTTTCTTTAAGAGTCTTTCTATTGAGCTGGGTAAAATTTTGATATGCATTGGTCCTTATTCTGTGTGTGGGGGGTGTGGGGGGAGCAGTGTGTAGTTGTCAGCTCTTGACTCTTTGGGCCAATGGGTGACAGATAACAACAAGCCCACTTTGGTTTCATTGCTTGGTCTAGATTTTTAAAACTAGAAATCGTGTCCTGCAGTGCTTTGGATCACCAGGGCCATACCCAGCATCAGAAGATGGTGTGTATGTGTGTGTGTGTGTGTGTGTGTGTGTGTGTGTGTGCGCGCGTGTGTGTGCCTATGTGTGTGCTGTGTGCATGGCTGAGGGTCAGACTTAGGACCTATCCATACTACATATGAAGGTTGTACTCTGCCCTTTGAGCTATCGTTATGTACTTCTAGGTAATTCTCTCTCTGTCTCTCTCTCTCCTTCCCTCCCCCTTCCTCTTCCTCCCTCTCCCTTCCTCTTCCTCCCTCCTCCCTTCCTCCCCTCCCTCCCTTCCTCCCCTCCCTCCCTCCCTCCCTCCCTCCCTCCCTCCCTCCCTTCCTTCCTTCCTTCCTTCCTTCCTTCCTTCCTTCCTTCCTTCACCTTCCTTTCTTCCTCCCAACCTCTCTCCCTCCCTTCGGGCTTCCCTCCCTCCCTCCCTCCCTCCCTCCCTCCCTCCCTCCCTCCCTCCCTTCCTTCTCTTTCCTTTCTTCTCCCAACCTCTCTCCCTCCCTTTGTGTTTCCCTCTCTCCCTTCTTTCCTTCCTTCCTTCTTTCCATTTTGGAGAGAAGAAGTGGGAATAACTCTAGAATATATCTTGATTAAAATGAGATTTTGATGCTTTTGTTTTTTTTTTAAGTAATAATGAACCTTTTACCTTTAAAACAGGTACAGAATAAGTACTATAACCTTAGTGGCATTTCCTAGAGTTATCAGGTGTGGGGTAAGGAGATGGGGACGACCTCCGTCGATGCCATATAATGCATGAGTAGTCTTTGTATCCAGTCCTTAAATATCAGAACAGTAAACAATTAAAATAGACTGATGAACTAATATCAATATTTGAATTCTCATTAGAAATATGCTATATTTTTCAAAGGGAAAGAAGCCCAAAGAGGTACAGTTCCTTGCGCTGCTGTGTCTCAAAACTATTTCTGCTTTCAAACAGGAATGTTTTTCCAATGTCTACCTCTAGGATAAGTGAGAAAGGGGTACAGACAGCCCCATGTTCTTCTTTTTTTCAGTTGAGTGTCAGTGCTATTTATTAGTTTTCTGTGGTGTCTGATTCACAGTTAATCATGATTTGGTTTCTTTTTCATTTTAAACCATGCATGCTTTATGCAAGAAATAAAAATGCATGCCCATGAATGATCAAAGTTGAAGTTCATCTCACCTATATATTTTTCCTATGGTTACATGTAATTTTGGTGCTGACCTCTAAGAATGTTAACACTTGTCTTTTGGCCTTTAGGGTATGTTCATGTATATTTCTAACAGACATGAATTTGGAAGATTATTATCAACGGCAAATTACAATATTTCCCATTATAACAATGATCTCTGGCAGATTTTTGAAAATCCTGTGGTATGTATTTCATCTTCAGCTTTATCATTTATTTTCCTATAACTCTTAAGTTTCCTTCAGCCAGTTTGTTCGTAATATGAACTCACATATGTCAATATTACATTTTGATTTTTCAGGAACAAAATTCAAGAAGTGAGATTGGGGAAATGTATTTTAATTCATAATTTTATAAAAATTTTAACAACAATTCTGTGAAAAACAAGAGAAAAACAGAAATTTTCCCAGTAATTGGATTTAGCATATAATGAAAATCTTAAGGAAATTATTTTATACTTTCAATGCCTGATATTATTTCTTGTCTAAATGATTTGAATCATGCATAAATTAACACTGTCACTCTAGGGCCTTTTTTCTGTTGTCATCTTTGCACATTTTTCCAAGAGAAAATACTTTCTTAAAGAATCCTCTTTTAATGAAGACTCAGTCTGCCTCCTTAGATTGTCTTTTATTTTCTCAAAATGACTGATATCAGGCATAGTGAGTTTAATATCCTACTGTCTGCTGATCAGGAAGAGAATTTTTTTCCCTCATTTTTAGGTCACACCCGGCGATGCACAGGGGTTACTCCTGGCTCTGCACTCAGGAATTACCCCTGGCAGTGCTCAGGGTACCATATGATGTGTAAACTCACACAAAGGGGGGCACGGCATGCAGCGGCAGTGGCTCTATCTCTCCCGCTGCCCGCGTTCGGTAGTCTCACCCTTCTCCCACCCTGGAGAGGTTGATGGCGATGGTCAGGTGGAGGAAGGAAACGAGGGCCAGGCTGGTTGGTATTAGTTGTAGTTTATTCTGATTCTCTCTTCATCTGTCTCTGCTCCCCTCTCCTTCTGTCTCTGCTCCCGTCTCTCTCTGTCTCTCCATGCTACTTCATTCTCCTTCTCCATTCCCCTTCATCCTCCTCTTCCTTCTGATCCTCTCAGAACCGCCAGCCCACTCCTACAGTCTAGTTAAATCCTCTCTCCATTTTGAATTGGGGAAACAATTACACATAGGTGCGGTCACAATCAATAGGGGTAGAAATCAATAGGGGTAGAAATCTTAGCCTCAGGGAAGACCACTCCTAGGACAGATCATTCCTCAGCAGGAGGACCCACCCTAGAGCATAATCCCATGGGCATGCCTCTCCTCTCCTTGTCCGACAAACATATAAGAATATAATATAAATCATTTTGTATTTTGTATGGATACAGTAAGAAATATCTTAAACTTATAGAATTGCTCTCCTAGGGCCATCTCGATCTCAGACTACGGTGTTCAGGCCAGATAGTCTTTCCCACCCCTAGCAGGATCCTAGTCTTGTCGTTACCTTTGGATCATGACAGCATTTGTCTATGATCAAACTCTTAATTTACAGTTAAGAATCGTGGCACTTTAGCCTGGCCCATTTCGCTGCCAGGGTAGCTCACCGCTTGCTCTGGGTCCATTCAGTCCCTCATCGGGACCCTGCTTTTGGGGTGTTAGGAACTAAGGGTAACTGAGGCTTAAGTCGAGAAAGCAGATGCCCGGGAGTGAATAATATTCAAAGCCAATCAAATCCTAAGTTACAAAGCATAATGTTAACGGTCTTCCTGTATCTATACAAAAAGGATATTACTTTAAGGTAAACTGTTCATAAGGCATAAGGAGAGGAGAAAGGCAATATTTCACTCATACATATAAAATCATAGATTTCTGGGAAACTGATCTTACAAATTAACAAAGTCTGATTAAGGGGAAAGCTGATTAACTGGGTGGGAAGGAGAGCATAGGGAAGACTGTTTACAGATAAACACAACGAAAGTGGAAGTGCTTCAGGAGCACTGTGATGGGTGTAACCAGATAAACCTAAGCTTCTTGTACTCCAACAATATGGGATGCTGGGAATTGAACACCCTACCAGCTGTGCTATCTCTCCAGCTCCCAGGAAGAGAATTATTTAACTTGTATTTAGAAAGTATACACGTTTGATTTTGGCTGAATCTCTTTATTTTATATAAGAGTAGCATTAAAAAGTGGCTTTTTTAAGTGGCGGGGGTGGGATAACCTATTTTACTTAATTTCTTGGTATTTTACTTAATTTACTTAATTGCTTGGTATCTTGGGAATATGAATTTTTTTATTTCCTAGATAATGTTCATGTCTTTTTAAAAGTCCTGATTTTTTCTATTTCTTTAGGACTCAAACTATTTGGAATAAAAATGACAGAAATAAGTAAAATTTGTTTACACCTCAAAAAGAGTGAGCTCTGGCAGCCTTTAACCAATAAATGATTTTGTCTTATGAGAACCTCTTAGAAAATTAGTTAGGTCAGAGTTTGTTTAAAAGGTAATCTAAAACAGAAAGTTAGTGTCAATACCCTAATGAAAGCTTTAGTGGCTCTTAGGTCTTCAGCCACCCACCAGTAGTGTGTTCCAGAGTGACAGAATACTGCGTAGGGCGTTTGCCTTGCATGACTGACCCGGTTTCGATCCCTGGCAGCCCATGATCCCCTAAGCACCACCATGAGTGAAGCCCGAGTACAGAGCCAGGAGAACACCCCCGAACATAGCTGGGTATGGCCCCCCAAAAAAACAAAACAAACAAAATTCAATAGTGATAAAGAGGAAATAAACTTAAAGATTCTAATATGTTAAAGATGATTTTTACTTTCTTTTCCCCTCTTATTTAAAAATTAGAAAACTAATCAGTAAAAGATGATAGCATGTTATGGGTAACGATCCGACCCTCATAGACTATGTGTACATAAAATTTATTAAACAATTTGAAAATAGTTTTTGTTCTTCTCCATCAAAAAGATATGAGCCCTGTAATAGCAGATATGTAAGACTGAGGTTACAGGGCTTTTATTCATTTTGTTTTTTTAATTGATTTCTCTGTTTTGATTCTGAAATGTGACCCAAAAAATATAAATCAGGGGCCAAAAAGGTAGTCTAGTAGGTAAGGAACTTGCACATACTGATTCTTGCGCCACAAATGGTGCCTTGGGTACCATCAGTAATGACCCTTGAGCACAGAGGCAGGAGTAGGATGTGTCTCTCCAAAACCAAAAAATTAAAAACTTTTTGACTTTTTTTTAAAATTAAGCATACACCAAAAAAAGGACAATGATTAAAAAACAAACCAGTTTCTTAGAATTCCTGTTTTCTTAGAGTTTCTAAGAATGACTCTACACTACATAATCATTTATATATTGAGCAATTTGTAAAAGATACAGATGTTACATTTTTATTAGTTTTTATCAAAAAGTACAACTTTAATCTCCTTTGATTTTTTTTTTTTGGTAGGACTGGAAGGAAAAGTATATAAACCGTGATTATTCGAAGATCTTCACCGAAAATATAGTTGAGCAGGTTTGTGTTAATACTATGAGTGATAAAACGTTTTTGCTCTACTTTTGAAGGAACTACTGTCACAGCAAATAATGTTGTGAAATTAGTGATGCTATTCTTCAGGTACAAAGAATACCATTCATGTTGCTTCCTTACTGACTTCATAGTCTTAAGGATGAGAGATAAAAATGTAGAGCCTGAGAGTAACAGTCATTTACTGCCAGATGTCATGCTTTCTCAAACCATTGAAATGAAGCATATGTCAGGTAAGGTAATGACCTCTTTTTTTTTTTTTTTTTTTTTTTTTTGCTTTTTGAGTCACACCCAGCGATGCACAGGGATTCCTCCTGGTTCTTCACTCAGGAATTACTCCTGGCAGTGCTCAGGGTACTATATGGGATGCTGGGAATTAAACCTGTGTCGACCGCTTGCAAGGCAAACACCTTCCCCCCTGTACTATCGCTCCCACGACCTCTTTCATTGAAGGTTTATCTTTGAAAGGAATTGTCCTCCGTGACGAGATAGCACAAGGTGGAAGCTGGCTGGCTGGCACGTGACTGACGATGGTTCAATCCCTGGCATCACATATGTGCCTGAACACCACCAGGATTCAATCCTGAGCAGAGTCCCAGGAGTAGTCCCTGAGCACTGCTGGATAGATAGGATGCCCAAAAATCTCTTCTCAGAAAGGGTTCTTACAAAGAAAACCAAATTTTGTTCTAAACTGTTTAGCTTTAAACTATTGTTTTTTTTGTTTTGTTTCGTTTTGTTTTTAAATTACAGTTTTTGTTTGGAGATTTTGAAGGGAAGGAGGGAGAGAAAGTGGAAGAGTAGAGAGTATTGTGCTCAAGAGAGAGAATGCGGGCTTCTCCAAGGGTGGAGAGAGCCCCTGCACAGACCCCAGCATACACATGAAAGCATGAAAACACAGAGAGGGAAGATGTGGGTGACACATGTGCTCAGGCACTACATATGCTCGGCCACATGGGCTCAAGCAGCATGTGGGCTCAGGCAGCGTATGCGCTAAACTATTATTGTACCATGCAAATGCCTCTGAAATAACCCTATTTCAGAGAATGTGAAGTATCTTTGCAGCTGAGATGATTTGGTCTGTTTTGAGAAAGAAGCAGAACGATTGTTAGTTGAACTATGTGCACGCCTTCTTGAGTGTCATAGTTGTTGCATGCTGGCTTCGCTTCAGACTCAGGGAGGAGTGGGTGACAGGTGCTGGTGTATTGTAGACACCATCACTATTCATTTCAGTGGTCACTCACAGCATGCATCACTTTCAAAGACGTGACCAGTGACAGGTCAACACAGCAAGTGACACAAGCATGATGAACACAGACTCTCTTCCATTCCCTTTAAAGTACCCATGATCAAAGACACGGAATGCCGCTTCTCTGACTGGTGACGTTCTCTTTTTCAGCCGTGTCCAGACGTGTTTTGGTTCCCCATATTTACGGAAAAAGCCTGTGACGAGTTGGTGCAAGAAATGGAGCACTATGGCCAGTGGTCTGGGGGAAAGCACCATGTAAGTAGCTGTTTGCACACGAAGAACTAAAATGTTTCCGTGTGCTGGGAGGAGGAATTGAGATAGATGTAGAATAAGGAGGGGCCATTTGGCCAGGCATCTCTGAAGCTTACACGTCTCACCGGGGCCAGCCGGTGACCAGAATGCTTGTCTGCTTCTGCCATTATCCAGCCCACATTTTGATTCCTGGGGTCTCGTCTCTTCACTTATGCCTGATGCTTGTGTTGTTTAAGAGACAGATTCCCCAGGCTGGTGCGGTAACCTGCCTTTCCTGGGTGATACTGCTCTTTTATAAAATGCCAACTTTTATTCTCTGTGCTTTTACAGTGATCTGCGTAAGTATCAAAGTCTGTGTGTGTGTGTGTGTGTGTGTGTGTGTGTGTGTGTGTGTGTGTGTGTGTGTATGTGTGTGTGCATGTACATGTAAGAAGGAGGAATCTGTTTCAGCAGATTTACATCTGGGTCAGTTTATACATTTGAATCAGTTTTGCATTTGCACTCAGCGTTCAAGATGGAGCAGGAAGATTGATTCTCACCAGTGTGTTGCCTTCCGTTTCCTCTTCTGGGGAAGGTCATGCACACCAGCTCCCTGAAAACGTGAGATTGTAGCCGCATGCTTTGGGCTCTGACTGACCCTGGCATGTTCTCTGGCTAGTCAGCTGCCTGGGGCACGGACATTCCTAGTATGAGGAAGAATTTGATGTCTGCAGGTTGTAGGATAATTGGAAACTATTCGGAAGTTTTTGGGGCCACGCCATAGACTGTGGGGCTTTGTGGGAATTATGGTCTGTGGTAGGGAGCCGTGTAATGGAGAAGTGGTTTAGCACTCTATCTGTCTGCCAGAGAGCTAACCCTGGCCCCAAACACGGAAACGTGGGAGGGCTTTGGACATCAGTTTTATTTCCTTGTGAGGTCAAACTTCCTATGTACATTTACACGTTGATGCGGGCACTGCACCAAGTGTTCATTAAGCCACATCTTGAAGTCTGAGTCACTGGTGATACTCACCAGCACCAGTGAGTTCATTAACTAAGTTAGAGAATCTATTCCCAGCTGCACTTCCTGGTAGCTCTGGAAAGCCATGCAGGCTTAAGTTATTCCAATTGCCTACTATGAACGCAGATGGTCCACCCATCTCAAGCAACCATTATTTGGAGGGTGTTTGGGGATCTGGTGGTTAAGAAAGATTTCTGAGGGTGAATGACCCCAGGCATCACCCAACCAGCATGCTTGGTGACGTTGCTGCTTCCCGCTCTCCCCAGGACAGCCGGATCTCCGGGGGTTACGAGAACGTCCCAACGGATGACATCCACATGAAGCAGATTGGCCTGGAGAATGTCTGGCTGCACTTTATCCGGGAGTTTATCGCCCCTGTCACGCTGAAGGTGTTCGCGGGCTATTACACCAAGGTAGCTGTCCTCCCGTCCTTCCTCCTTCCTCCCTCCAGCCTGTGCACGCCAATATGCATTGTGATGGGCTGAGAATCAGCGCATCCATTGGGCCGCCTTGCCTTTTGCAGGGCTTTGCACTGTTGAATTTCGTGGTGAAATACTCGCCCGACAGACAACGTTCACTTCGCCCTCATCACGACGCGTCCACGTTCACCATCAACATCGCCCTCAATAATGTGGGAGAAGATTTCCAGGTCATTATGGCTTTTCCCCTTGTCCACTTTTTTCTTTTCCTCATTTTTAGGTCACACCTGGCGATGCACAGGGGTTACTCCTGGCTCTGCACCCAGGAATTACTCCTGGTAGTGCTTGGGGGACAATATGGGATGCTGGGAATCGAACCTGGGTTGGCCACATGCAAGGCAAACGCTCTACTCACCCCCTCCCCCTGGTCCACTTTTTTGCAAAAGGAGTGAGTCACCCTGAAAATGGCTTGGTCTGTGTCCTTTACCGGCGGTTTTTAGGTTCTGCTGAGGTGGTCTCATAGAAAAGGTAGCACAGATTTAAAAAACAAAACCAGACATCCTTGGCTGATGTATTTATCTTGTTGCATCTCTTGCAGGGAGGGGGCTGCAAATTTCTACGGTACAACTGTTCCATTGAATCCCCGAGGAAAGGCTGGAGTTTCATGCATCCAGGGAGACTGACACATTTACATGAAGGGCTTCCTGTGAAGAACGGGACCCGTTACATCGCCGTGTCCTTCATAGACCCCTGAGTTGTTCACTGGCGATGAAACTGGATTTTCTTTTGGAAAAGATAACTGGCATGAACATGGCCTTTGAAGTTGTATGTGAGGAGATGAGATGGATATTTAAATAACTTCAGCAGGACAACTTCACTTTGGGCCAATGATGCGAAAAAAAAAGCCTTTTTATTTAAAAAAAAATGGTTTCCTCAATGCCTGCTCTTGGGCCAAAGATGGCGAAAAAAACCCCTTTTTATTAAAAAAAATGGTTTCTTAATGTCTGCTCTGAGCCTTAAAACACAGATTGACGAAGGAAAGAAAGTTTAAGCAAATATTTATTTCTTTGTCAAGTTTCGGAGAATAATGACAATTTTCTGAATTTGTGTTTCAGTTGATAAAATATTCAGGTGCAAATGTTCACATGGCAAATAATGATATTTTCTTATTTATCAGAGGCTGGGGATGGTTTTATTTATTAACTCATAGACAAAATTGATACACATGAAAATTTGCCATTTTTTTAAAATGTCAGAGAACTGGCATTCAGTCTGACTTTATACGCAACATAGTGTAGGAGTTCTTTATTGACCTTGTATCAGTAGTTACTGGGAATACAAAAAACCTTGTTTTCTTAAGAAAAAACAAACGTCTGAGGATAGAGAAAAACCGAAGCACATATCCAGTTGGAAACAGCTCTAGATTCTCTTTGGATTGTGAGATGCCTTTCCTTTCATGTTTGAAATCGAACCCTGTGTTCCTGAGATGAATTTTACCAGGTGGATTATATTCCCTAGATAACTAGATTTAGGCAAGCTTTGAAAGTTTTCTTCTTGTGTGTTTCTTGGCAAGATCACTGTCCTTCAGTGAAAACAGGTTTTGACTCTAGAAAATTTAAGAAGAAAAAAAAAATGAGGTAAAAGAAAACTTTGAGGTTAGTGGTAGCACTTTGTGATTAGAAAAACACAAACTTTTGAGTACTTGGATTTCATGTTAGGAAAATAAAGTTGGTGCATAATTTTCCCTTCTGTATTGCTTGTCCTCTGTTTTTAGGGAGAGTTATCTCTGTCTCCCCAAACTGTGCCCATTTACCTTGCTTATTACTCTCTATTACCTTCTCTTTATCTCACTTTGAAAGCTTTTCCCCACTGACCGAAAATTAAAAATTCTTTGATTCTTTTCAGTGATTTCGGAGTGAGGTTCAAACATCCTTAGTGTAGCTACTGTTCATAATTTAAAGGTCACACTTGAAAACAAGGTTTTAAGTCATGGTGCCAAAATTTATTGTTCTAACACCATGTGTTAGAAAACTATGAGAAATAAAATAATTTAAAAGAATTCCTGTTGTTCTCTCTTTATTACAGGTGAGTTTTCTTTAGAAGAGTATATGATGGATTGGTCTGAAAGAATGTCTGGGTATAATAATAGTTTTTTTTTTTTTTTGTGGTTTGCCTAGTAACGGTAATGACGGCATCACTTCTTCAAACTGTAAAATTGTAAGTTGAATGGTAATGCTGTCTTTAGTCTCAGAGATTTGATCTAAATCTTCTTCCAAGTGAGGAAATAGATATAAAATCTTTATTCGATGTGCATCTGTTCAGAGGTGCTTTTTTTCCCCTCCCCTGTGTTGGGGGCCAGACTTGGTGATGCTCAGAGCTTACTTCAGACACTGTGGTTTTTAAGTCTCTACTGTGTGCCAGACCCTGTTCATGCTTGGAGAACTTGGTGTGAATAACTTGTTACAGAGAATATCATGAAAGAGGGCTAAGGAAAGATGGGAATTGGGTTCTACTGCTTGCTCATCACTCTGGTGGCTTTGAATACCTAAAGTAAATTTTTGCTCTTCACCCAATTGGTGGAGGGGCCATTATGGTAATGGTTTGTGAATTATATTGCTGCTATCCAGGGATGGTATTCCAAATATTTTACAACTGTTTGGACATGGTGGCCAGTAATTGAAGCAACTCCACTGATAGAAACAATTCTCTGGTACAGGTCAGCTTACAACATGTCCCCTGTGGGTGAGATTTCAACCACTTCTGCTTGTTTGTTTTATTTTACTCCCTTGTATGTAGGCGGTCAATTGAGCACATCACCTATCTTCACCTTTCCCCAGATTGAATGAAATGATAAGAAATATCTGTATAAAATGAATGATTCCTGATTATTGAGGGAGGTTGGAAAATTGCCAGAAGTAGGTCAGAAAATTCTGAAGATGGAAAACAGGTTGGACTGCGTGGCTCAGAGGAAGCTTCAGCTAGCAGCAGTAAATCTTTCAGTGACTGAGATGTCTTGTTTCTCTGAGTGTGTTTGGTTTTGAGATCCCACCTACAAGTGACGGAATGCAACTTGTTTTTCCACCTGACTGAATTCGCTTAGCAAAATACCCTCATGGTTCATTCATCATTACAAGTGGCAGGGCTTTCTTTTATGTGGCTGAATAATAGTCCATCACATGTGTTATGTCTAAATATAAATAAATACACACTATAATCCATTCTAGTATGGAAAATCAGGTATGGTTACTCCCATGACTTAGCCATGACAGTGGTACTGCAGTGATTGTAGAAGTTCAGGTACTTCTTTTTATATATATATATATACATATATTTTATTAGTGAAACACCATGAGGTACAGTTGTAGATTTACAATTTTTGTGCTTGGGTTTCAATTATACAATGATCAGATACCCATCCCTCCACCAGTGCCCATTTTCCACCACCATGGATAATGTCCCCTCCACCCCCATCCCCCCATCTCCCCCTGCCTCCGTGGCAGGGCAATCCCCTGTGTTCTCTCTCTCCTTTTGGGTGTTGTGGTCTGCAAAAGAGGCATTGAGTGGCAAACATGTTCAGTCCATAGTCTACTTTCGACATGCATCTCCCCTCCTGGGAGGATCCTTCAAACACCCTTTATTTGGTGCTCCCTTCTCTATCTGAGCTGCCCTTTCCTCTAGAATGCCCGGCTGGCCAATAAGCTATGGAGTAATCCTCCTGGTGCTGATCTCAGCTATTCTTGGGTATTAATCTCATATTTTGTTACTTTATATCCCCCAGATGAATGCAATCTTTCTATGTCTATCCCTCTCTTTCTGACTCATTTCGCTTAGCATGATACTTTCCATGTTGTACCACTTGTATGTAAATTTCATGACCTCATCCTTTCTAAAGCTACATAGTACTCATTGTGTAGATGTACCAAAGTTTCTTTAACCAGTCATCTGTTCTTGGGCATTCAGGTTTATTCCAGTTTCTGGCTATTGTAAAGAGTGCTGCAATGAACAAACAAGTGCAGATGTCACTTCGACTATACATTTTTGCCTCTCTGGGATATATTCCCAGGAGTGGTATTGCTGGGTTAAATGGGAGCTCAATTTCTAATTTTTTGAGAATCGTTCATACTGTTTTCCAGAAGGGCTGAACCAGTCTACATTCCCACCAACAGTGAAGGAGTGTCCCTTTCTTGCCACATCCACGCCAGCATTGGTTGCTTTTGTTCTTTTGAATGTGGGCCAGTCTCTGAGGTGTGAGATGGTATCTCATTGTGGTTTTGATCTGCATCTCCCTGATGATTAATGATGTAGAGCATTTTCTCATGTGCTATTTTGCCATTCGGATTTCTTCTTTGAGAAAGTTTCTGTTCCCCATTTTTGGATGGGGTTGGATGTTTTCTTCATGTGGAGTTCAACTAGTATTTTGTATATCCTTGATATCAACCCCTTGTCAGATGTGTATTTGGCGAATATTCTTTCCCAATCTGTAGACTGTCTTTGTATTTTGGTCACTGTTTCTTTGGAGGTGCAGAAGCTTCTTAGTTTAAGATACTCCCATTTATCTATCTCTGTTTTCACTTGCTCGGCCACTGGCGTGGCATCTTTGAAAATAGCATTAGCCTCAATGTCATGGAGGGTTTTGCCAACTTTATCTTCAATGTTTATCATTTTATCAATTTATCACTCAGCTCCCGGGAGAGAACAAGGCAGAGTCTCCTACCCTGTGCCTGACTGTCTCCACCAGGACCCAACAGCTGAAGACCTCCGGGGCCCAGCCAAGGCCATGCTGGAACCACTCTCCACACATTTGGATGAGCCTCACGCATAAAAGAACTGGCAGAGGAACCCAGGTGTGTGACACCCGGAGCTGAGATCTCCAAGCCTGCACAGTTTGGGACTGGACCTGCCAGTAACTAGACAGTTACACCCACCAACTGCCGTGTAACTCCAACAACGGCCAGGATCCAGAGATTATCACACTCAGCTCCCGGAAGCGCTCAGCCGCATGCGCAGCCGCCCGACATCTTATCATCTCATTCCTACTTTGGACAAACTGACAGGCTACCAAATGTAACCTGCCCAACGGCAGAGTCTGGCAAATTCCCCGTGGTATACTCAATATGCCAAATACCAGTAACAATGATGGGTCTCATTCTCCTAACCCTGAAAAAGCCTTGAATATGGCACTTTAAAAAAAAATCTCAGGGCTAGGACGAAGAAGACGTTTCTGGCATCTGCTCGAGGCAATCGACGAACAACAGGGTGGTTGTGATCGTGATCGTGATCGTCAATGTACCTTATGGTTTCTGGTCTGATGTTGAGGTCTTTAATCCATTTTGATCTTACCTTTGTACATGGTGTTAGGCAGAGTCCTGAGCCCATTTTTTTGAATGTAGCCATCCAGTGATGCCAGCACAATTTCTTAAAGAGGCTTTCCTTACTCCACTTCACATTTCTTGCACCTTTATCAAAGATTAGATGATCATATGATTGAGGGGAGATGTCAGTGTATTCAACTCTGTTCCATTGGTCTGCAGTTCTGCCTTTGTTCCACTACCATGCTGTTTTGATTATTACCACTTTGTAGTAAAGTTTGAAGTTAGGGAGGTTGATTCCTCCCATTTTCTTTTTCCCAAGAATTGCTTTAGCTATTCGTGGGGGCTTATTGTTCCATATAAATTTCAGGAGTGTTTGCTCCATTTCTTTGAAGAATGTCATGGGTATCCTTATAGGGATTGCATTGAATTTATAAAATATTTTCTGTAGTATTGCCATTTTGACAATGTTAAGTCTCCCGAACCATGACCAGGGGATATCTTTCCATTTTCTCATGTCCTCTTTTATTTCCTGAAGTAGCGTTTTGTAGTTTTCTTTGTACAGGTCCTTTACTTCCTTAGTTAAGCTGATTCCTAGGTACTTGATTTTCTGGGGCACAATTGTGAACGGGATTGTTTTTTTCATGTTGCTTTCTTCTCTCTCACTGTTTGTGTATAGGAAAGCCATGGACTTTTGGGTATTGATTTTATAACCTGACACTTTACTATACGAGTCTATTGTTTTTAGGAGTTTTTTGGTGGAGGTTATTGGGTTCTCTAAGTATAGTATCATATCATCTGCGAATAGTGAGAGCTTGATTTCTTCCTTTCCTACCTGAATGCCCTTAATATCTTTTTCTTGCCTAATCGCTATTGCAAGTACTTTCAGTACTATATTGAACAGCAGTGGAGATAGTGGGCATCCTTGTCTCGTCCCTGATCTTAGAGGGAAGGCTCTCAGTTTTTCGCCATTGAAGATGATGCTTTCTGTAGGCTTGTGGTAGATGGCTTTAATTATGTTGAGGAAGGTCCCCTTTATACCCATTTTGGCTAGGGTTTTCATCATAAAGTGGTGCTGGACCTTGTCAAATGCTTTCTCTGCATCTATTAATATAATCATATGCTTTTTATCTTTTCTTTTGTTGATATGATGGATTATGTTGATTGATTTCCGAATGTTGAACCATCCTTGCATCCCTGGGATGAATCCTACTTGGTCATGGTATATGATCTTTTTGATGAGTAGTTGGATTCTATTTGCTAGTAGTTTGTTGAGGATCTTTGCATCTGTGTTCATCAGGGATATCGGTCTGTAATTCTCTTTCTTTGTGGTATCTCTGTCTGCTTTTGGTATCAGTGTGATATTTGCTTCGTAGAAACTGTTCGGAAGTGTTTTTGATATTTCAATTTCGTGGAAAAGCTTAAAGAGGATTGGGAGTAAGTCCTCTTTAAAGGTTTGGAAGAATTCACTAGTGAATCCGTCCATGCCAGGACTTTTGTGCTTGGGGAAACTTTTTATTACGATATCAATTTCCTTGATGGTGATAGGTCTGTTCAGGTATTCCAGGTCTTCTTGGTTCAGCCTTGGGAGTCTGTAGGAGTCTAGGAATTTATCCATTTCCTCAAGGTTTTGATGTTCCGTGGCATACAGTTTCTCAAAGTACTCCCTGAGGATCCTTTGAATTTCTGTAGTTTCTGTGTAATGACCCCCTTTTCATTTCTGATTCGGTT